CCAAGTTTTATCTTCACAACACATTATGTGAAAATATAACTTCATATTTATTGGTCAAAATCCTATACTTAGTTGCACCTAAAAAACTGTAACTTTTTTCGAAAAGCAATAGACCGCACTTACTATTCCTCTAACAGCTTCATCTTTACACCCTAATATCAGTATGCACGTTCTCTATACTGTTCTCTATACATTTCCTGTAGGTGCTGACAAGGAGAATTTGTTGAACAATCAAGAGCTTCTTTAATTATTGATCGTTTCCTTTATTCTCCTGACCTTAGTGTGTGATTCCAGGGTGATGTTGTAAGGAGAAATAAGATGCGTGTCAATCTTAAGGGTCAAATGGTTAACAACGAACTTGAAATATTAGTTGAACTCTCGAGCACTCTTATGTTCTTCAAACATTCCGCGTGGGTTATTATGCCGGAAAAAGTGCGGTTTATAGCTTCCTTATTCTCTACTTCTTCCCCCCCCCCAAAGAATAATACAGATGTGGATTAGGATAAATTAGAACATGCAGAAAGATATGTTTTGAAAACTTTTCAAAACCTTGCTCTTTGATTAAACTACATCATGAGGTGAAAGGGAAGACAGTTGGGTCTTGTAGTGAAAAATTATGATAAAATTTGGGAGGCTCCTTTCGTATAAAACAAAACAAAAAAATAACCACCCCACCCGGATTCGAACTTAAGCCGATTGAATGGTAAACGGACTTTTTATCCATTGTACTAATTGACAACAACGTGAGTATAGACGGGATTCTTTTACGTCTAAATTACTTCAACCAAAGAAGCGATTACATTGAGAGCCTCCATCTCAGAGTTGTTTTAGTCTGTTAGAGAATGGTTCTTGTTCCGGATAGTGCAACCGAATAGGGTAACTTAACAAGGGCAAAGGAGATAAAACTCAAGTAAAAGCGGGTTGAAAGGATCAATGTGTCAACAGCGTTGTCACCGAATTTAAGTTTTCTGTTGGAAGGCTAACGAAATAAAACGTCAGTTTTTACGTTCACGTTAAACGTAGCATTAAATCGATCTCATATCACGGTATGCACAGCATGCCCAACAAATATTCTGTTATTCGTGGTAAGCCACTCAGGCGATCGACTAGGAAATTGTCCCTGCTCCTCTCCCGTCTTAATAATATATCACAGCACGCATTACTCACTCATCAACACCGCACGCAACTTTTTTTCAAAACTGTTCGCTGATCATGTGCAGGTAGTATGTCATACTCATGACATACAACGGCGTGATCATGTGACGAGTAGGAGGGAGAGATGACCCTTGGAATGAGAGTTGAGGGTGACCTTGAGGTATCATATGACTTCATCAACGGGAAATGTTAGGTGGAAAGCTCTGAAGGAAATCGATCAAGTCGCTCGAGAGTCATCTCGCCCAAAATCATGTCGCCTGAAAACTAAGTCATGTTGTCCGAAATTTAAGTAGTGTCGCCCAAAAAAAAGTCAAGTCGCCCGAAGAACCATATACTAAAAAGATCAGAATTTCAGACTGTAAATAGGCGATAAAGTTGAGACATTCTTATCACTAAAGCGCTCTTTGTTTCCGACTACATCATGAAGATTCTAAAAACGTTGTTCTTTCCTAACGACAAAGGGAAACGTTGTTCGTTTCTAACAACAAATGAAGCGTTGTTCGTTTAGTATGTACTCGTTTCTTACTCACGGACGTTTCGTAAGCTTGAGAAACTTTATCTCAGTTTCTAACAATCCCATGAAGACTTTGACTACACAGAAATCGATCGTATGGTCGGAATTGAAATATGTTTGAGTAACGATCCTAAAAGCGTTGTTCGTTTCTAACAACAAAGGGAAGCGCTCTTCGTTTGGTATGTACTCGTTTCTTATTCACGGACATTTCGTATGCTTGAGAAACTTTTTATTGGTTTCTAACAATACCATGAAGACTTAGACGACACAGAAATCGATTGTATAGTCAGAATTTAAATATGTTTGAGTAACAACTCTCAAAGCGTTGTTTGTTTCTAACAACAAAGGGAAGCGTTGTTCGTTTCTTCAACAACAAATGCACGGATGCAGCGTAACATACAAGTAAAGTTCTGTTGTGTCTATTTGTGACTTTCTTAACAACAACAGATGAAAAAACGTGGTAAACGAATGCACCCGTGAATTTGTTGTTAACTACAATTTAGTTCCTCAAGAAACGAATGTAACATTTTCCAGGAAACGGAGACATACAAGAACTGCGGGTATTGAATGAAGTTACAACGCAATCGTCGCAGTAACGTTTCACTGTTCATGCAGTTGACCGGAGAAGAGTCGCGCAGTAGAGTCTCATTACGCTGCGTGACATACCAAACAGAGTCGCTGGGATCATATTCTTAACGCTTTCATTCCTAAGATCTCTTTAGTAGTTCTCCTTACTGTCCGCCATACAATAAGTATGATGCTAGGTCGGAGAATTTAATATTGGATCAACTGGTAACCTTAGGTGATATTTTTCTCTATTCTCTTCACGTCTACTTGATATTGTAAGGAGAAATTCTGTCCTGGTCACTCATGGGAGTTAAAAGGTTAAAAACTATCAATAGGCCATTTCTTAGTGCACTAAGTTGTCAGGCCTTTGATTTTGAGTGAGGCTGAAAGTAACTTTATCGTGATAGAGACCAGTATCTAGTTTGCATGATAACAAAGTAATTTCTGATAGAAAAGTAGCAAGGTTTGCAGTAAGGTCACCCTTACTCTCGCTTCTGTTCAAATGCTTGGCAACCAAGCACACAACTGTAAAATGGACTATTACAGGAAGTTGTCCTTCTTTACAGCTGTCTCGTAGGGGACAGTTGATTTCATACAAAAATATCAAAAAGAGGAAACAACAACAACAACAACAACAACAACTCACAAATCATGAACAATTAACAAATAAGTGAAAAAAAAAAAAAAAAAAAAATAAAAAGGAAAAAAAAAAGCTCTTACAGTTTTGATCTACTGACCTTTATTGCTTTGAGAAATCAAACAATTCAACATAACTTATTAAGTCCACCCTTCTGCTGGATAAATTAAGTCCCCGATGTCAAGAAACGCAATAATATGAAAATACAATCTGCTGAATCCTTGATGAGGATTCAAGTAAGTTTATGTTACAAGTTATAAAATGCTGTTCCGTCGACCCTCATTGTTTATTTACACTATACAGATAACAAAATAGCCTACTGTATATACATAGATCTATGTTACAATATGATAAAGATAACTGCTCCTCTTATGTTACAAATAGAATACTTGGGAATTTCCAAGGAGTCTACATATTAAATTGATTTTTAAATTCCAGATGCTTTAAACATTATAAAAGAACAATACAAATACAAAAGGAAACATCAGTGTTCCTTAGCCCTTATTGGCAAAACAACACCAATACTTGAGAATTAAATCCAAATGTTATCACTCTGGAATAGAACACACCAGTGCACTCTTAGAATTGAAATTATGACACAAGTCTGCCTGCAGATCTTTGGACTACCAATGTAAATCCCGTAGTTGTAAACACAAACAAAGCAATCGTTTAGCAAATAGAACTTCACAATCCTTAAACAAACAAAGTTTTGATCCATTTCCTCCACTCCAATTTTATTTACAATGGGAGATAAGATGCCCTCAAATGTCTATCCCTCAATACAATGAAGTCACATCTCAACTGAGATAAATTCTATGTATAGTCATGAAAGAAACCAACAAACGACTTCCTCAATTACTTTTTGAAACTTCTAAACCCAGAATGTGTGAACCCAAATTCCTTCTCTACTTAACTGTCAGTTTCATTAACAGTAAACATTCAGATAAAGGCACCTTTCTTTGTCAACCAATGTTATAAATATAATCCCTAATCAACTACTGTCCCTCATATATCATAAGACTTTCGTGTCTTTTCAGCTCCTATAAGGAGAAGTGAATCTCTACTTAAAAAAGAACATTAAATACCAAATACCAGATATAAAATATTATGCTATAGCTGCAAAGCCCTTGTATTCATGCAATACAATGGATCTTATTATTTCAGAAAGTGTATGATAAAATATCAATAAATCAGGCACCAAAATTTTTTGTGGTTGATATTCAGAGGCCATGCTAATAATACCTGCAGTAGAAAAAGCTACTGTGAAATAATTTGAGTCTTGAACCCTTTCAAGAACCCTCTTTTGTACCAGATACCTGACTGTTTGTTTAAACAAGTACAAAGGCAAAGGTTACATTAAGTTTCCTTTAGGAGTTGAAGTATGAATCGTTGTGTGACCCTACAATGCAATTACCGGTAAGAGCCAAGAGGAGCAGTTCTAATTATTACCCGCTTCTTAAATTACATGGAACACTAACTTAAACAATTTTGTTTCACTCTTGTACCTCACATTGGCCAACTGACAATTATGGACACTGCTGTTGTCAATTTGAACTACTTTTCAATAGCCGATTCTATTTTTATACCATTTTCAGCAATACATGCACAGCTACATCTACATGGACTATCTTTGAGAATGTTATCTTTGGTAAGTAATTAGCAAGTGGACTTGATAAACAATTCCAGCACACCTGAACATCTATGAGTTACACATATTACCCAATAACACTCAGGGACGGAACATACATTTTCAAATCATTGTTTTGTTGAGAAAGTTGAAAGGGTGCATGGAAAAAAGACCCACAGTGACATCTGTTAAACTGCTTGATTTTCCTTTCAAATTGTTGTATGTTTCAATGTGAAAGTCAGTGAGAGGTCATTGTTGAATCAAAAGTCAAGTGAAGCTTAACTCCATGCACCCTTCAATTAGCTGCTTTTTTCAAGTTAGGATGTGTAAAGGATGCACTCCAGCTTTCCTAGACTTTAATTTACATTACTGTCATCATAATTGTTTTATAAAATTGTCTTTGAACAATTACTTAGTCCTTCAAAAGCTGTACATGTATAATTTAAACAGCATTTCAGTCATAGTCCATACCATGTAAAAAACACATTACACATGTACATGTACATGATAAAGCACTCAACAAGCATTTTCCACCAATCAAAACAATGATCTATCCTCTGCACTAAAAAATTAATGCAAATAAACCAGTAAGCTAATATCTGAATCCCAAAACATATTTCAATCATTTGTATGTACTCAAAAAAACAAGCACTTTTCTCTTTTCCCATACTTTGATTATACAACAGAAACTTTTTAATAAGTTTCTAGAGTGTTTACCTTGACCATATGGATAGATTCTAAACATCACACCAAACATGTGTTGCATGCCTGGTGCTTGTTCACAAAAAAATCATCACTTTGTTTTATATTTTACACGTAAAGAGTGAAAAGAACGCTTTCTTGATAAAGCTTACTACTTTGTCAGTATCAAAGCCATTCCTGATTATTAAGTTTTCAAGACTTTGAATGAAAATTGTCACAAGAAGGTGTCCTCTGCCATCAGTAAGACACCATTAACACAATGGCCAAAAAGGAAAGCTAGTGAATAAAAGAAGCAGGAAGCCGATACAGCAATCAATGCAGTACACATTACAGACAATGTGGAATGCAGAAGTGTCTGTACGAACATTACACTATCTCTTCACAGAAAAAACCAGAATAGGATGCAAATCAAGGCATTTCTGGATTTTAGAGCATCTAAAGATAATGAAGGCATTCTTAACCACAAGAGAAAGTACATGTATGTGTTATTATAAGCTGCTGATCAAGGTAACACGACTGAGTCCTAATATTTGATTTAAGCTGTTACGAAGTAACTCATCAATGTAAATACCATTCAAGCTTAACAAAACACAACTATAACTACTAATTAACAACAGACAGTTCACCATGCACCCCTGGATCAAGTATCCATGCATCTCTAATTCCCAATCCCCAGATCAGTTTAGAAACACAGGGAAAGGTCCTCCAGTTTTCCAAGTGATGGGTTCTCCCTTGCTGTGGCTTTCAGAACTGAATACACAAAATCTGAAGTATGACCAGCAATTACTTGGTTCCCTGGGTAGAGAAAGAGAACCAGTTACTGAATCATGATTGTTATGCTAAAATAGATCTAATTTCACATACAAAAGATACTAACATTGTTCTCTTCTGAATGTTCTCCATGCAAGAAAAACAAATAACCAGAGAAGAAAATAATTTTTAAAAGGGAGCTGGCAGAGCATTCAAAGGAATCAATTTAAAAACAGACTACAAGACTGAATGTAACCAAGCCACTAGTTGGCTAGGGGAATGTAGTAGCTTCTGGGATGAAATGTGAGGGGGCCGTGCCATAACAAATCTAGAGTTCCCCACCTTGCAACCTGTGAGAAATGAAAGACGAAAATATTCCCTATCTTACATACAATAGAAAACTCTTTCTGTTAAAGTATTGAAAAAGATAAATATTGGTTAACTCTACAGCTACAGCAATCTTGCAAAAATGAAGACAAATATGTTTGCCTAGCCAGTACTGCAAACTGCTCCTGTATCACAACTTGTCTTTAAGACTGTCCAAGTAATGCAGGGCGTGAAATTGTGCCTATTACAGGCACCAATGCAACTAAATTTTTCACTTTGGCGACCAAATCCTGAAAATTGGTCACCAAATCGGTGACTAGAATGTTTCATCATAACCTTACCTAGAGATATAGTGAATTAAAAAGATTTGCAAAGATAAATCAGCAGCAAACTTCCTTGTTAAGTTCGTTTCCAAAATGCAGCACATGCATCTTGATCTTGGATTTAGGTGAGCTTGAACATTGTATATCATTCATCCTAGTGCCCACTTTGTAGCACATTAAAGATCTTTTTCCTAATTTAATTTTGGAGGGTCTAGCCAGAGCGCTGACAGCATGAAAAAAGGTTTTGTTTGTCTTTAAAAATGGCGACCAACTTTTTCTGAATTGGCTACCACTTTTAAGTATTTAGGAGCCAAGTGGCTATCAGAAATAAAAATTAATTTCACACCCTGTAATGCACAGGTATGTTTTGAGATTTAAGATACAAGTAATTGAAGTTTCTTGTCAAAATGCAACACAGGCACCTAGAACTTACCAAATGTGCCCTTGATAAGAGTTTCAATCTGTACGCTCAAGTTTGGCTTTGGATCCAAAGGCGGGGAATTGCCTTTTACTATGATTTCTTTCTTCACCTTGTCAATGACATCCGTCAGGCGCTCTAAACAAACAAGAACACAGACTTTTACTTTACATTCAACTACACCTTGAGCAACAAATATTTAATGACATGAAACACAAGCACGTATGTACATTTACATCTAGAGTGGCCTGTGTAAGTAGCAAGATTACTTCATAACACCTAAATACTGCAGCTTGTCAGTAACAGGTTGTATAAACTGCATTAAAGAAATCTTCAAGAGTATGATGTTATTATTCATGTGCAAATTATGAAAACACTCAGACACAGCAAGAATTCTCAAGACGTATGGCTTCTCCTTCTCCATGTCTGCAAAAATGACATTCAAGTTTCCTGAAATCTCTAAAACTTTTCATACAAATGATAGCTCAGGTGATTTCAGAGGCACCTGAGTGACAATCATGTCCACAGTCTAGCTACACATCAGTTCTACTAAACCTAACAAGAGTTAAGTCATCAATCATTTATATACCTTTATTTCCTACTTTAAAATTCTGTAGAACTAACGAAACGTTTATGATGGATCAAGCAGAATGTTCACTGATCAGCTCAGATTACAAAAAGTAATTTATTACAATTCACATAACTTTCCACAACCTATATCAGCACTGGCATACCTTAGAATATCTGTTACATTGCATTACCTTTATTATTTATGTGTCAGCATTCTTAGATATGCACATTGACTAGGATGAGTTTATTTAACTTGTAACCCTTGAATACCTACTAGCAATACCTGATCCAATAATCAATATACACAAATTATTGTAAAAAGCTGGTGATCAGATAAGAAGATAATCTTCCAGAGAAGGTTAACTTGATATACATGTAACACCAAATTTTATCTCTAGTTTCACAATAAATGTACAAAGAATCTGGGAAAATTTTTTTAAAAATTTTTAAAATAACTTTTAAAATTATTTTAAAATATTTTTAAATTAATTTTTTAAAATAATTTTTTTAATTAATTTTTTTAAAACTGAACTAGGGAGTAGCACTTTGCAAACAGAAGTTGTAAAACTTCCTTACTCTCCGACGTGTTTTGTCCAACAATTGTAGACTTCTTCAGGGAGTTTTCCCAGTAAACACTACATGCTTGTATCTATAAGCCATAGTTAGCAGCTATACAGGGACCAGTGACCATAAAGGCTTGGCCTAACTTATGAATAGGAACAGGTGAAGTTGTGGAAAATTTGAAAAGTCTGTGGCCAAGGTGAGAAAAATATTTTGGGGGCCATGGTTTTAGCTAAAGCTGTAATGGAGATGCGTTGGAGAATAAAGAAGTTTTATAATTACTGTTCGCAGAGAGCTGCTCACCAGTTCAGTTTTAAAACGATAATTTAAAAGTTATTTTAAAAAATTATTCAAAATATTAAAAAAAAAATAATTAAAAAATAAATAAAGAGATAATCTTGTTATCAAATAAGTCACCTCTGAAACAGACCTGCAACCATCCCAAGAAAAATTTTCAAGATCATGTTTACAACTATAGAGGAAAGAGACTACTTTCAACTCACGTTGTTCCATTTCCAGACCCTGCAGCTTAACTTTATTTGCTTCATGCTGAGCTTTCTTCTTCAATCTGCAAGCCCTATGAAATGCAAAAGTACATGTGGTTATCTTTTTGATGCTACTGTATCTATGAAGCTAAAAATGCCTAAAAGTTATGGGCCCTTGTAAAGAAGTATACATGAAAGTGGACTGCTGAAATATAAGTTGATACAGTTCCCTAAAACTTGATTTTTGAAAGTTGAGGATTGAGTTTCAGGTCAAGACTGTCAACACAGAGTGACACTGTAAAACAAAATGGCTTGTTGAAACAAAATCTTGCAAGAGGCATATTTTCATTTGCAATTAGTTTAAAAGCCACAATGAACAACCCATATTTTATTACCAACAAGCACAGTAAAATCAACAATAAAACAGCTACATACTAAAAGTGTTTGTTACTGATCCTTTCAAATTTATGGCCTACTCTACAGATCCAAAAAACCAACATTAAATGAAAAGTGACAAAGAAAAAGGCAAAATAATGCATCTTGATCAAATTGTAGGTCAAACAAATAAATATAGCCAGCTTTGAGGGAAATTCCACCCAGTCTTTCAGTAATGATGATAACAGTAATGATAATAGTATTGATAACAGCAATATTCGAGATAATAATAGTAATCAAATAGTAATTATAATACTCCTCATGATTCGTTGCATGCCCCTTTGACAGAGTTTCTCCCAATCATTTTGCTTCTTGTGTGATGGACAAATAAGTGTATTACTGTGACCTGACAGTTTTGCCCATATTTGGTGGTTATAATTGTTATTGCTACAGTAGATATAAATTGTAATATGTTCACAAAGTTTGCAAGAATTTACTTCAATAGTGAATTCATATTGCTACAACAGCCTGTTTGTTAAAATTATGTCAAGTGCTGCAGGTTAAAGCTTGTGTGTGTACAATAAGTCAGGAACATTCACCGCACATAAAATCCTTTAAATTTATCAGTTTTGGCCCTTAATAACGATTTTTTCAATAACTTCATTTCTAAAAATCAAATTCTTGGGTTCTGCATTTGTTCCAGACAAATACCTGAAAATGTGAGTACAAAAAATTCTACAATATATAAAAGAGCAAAGATTTGAAATATTCAAAAAAAAAAAGAGATAAAAGAGGAAAAATTTAAAACATCCATGGTCAAAGTTCATAATAATATCTGTAAAAAATAAATTTTTTTTATTTCTTCAGCTGGCAAACAGTTGGAAAATCTGTGAATTTTTCTTATAGCCAACCAAAATGATAAACACTTCAACCAGAAACTACCCTATATTGAAATCAACAATTTGCAACCCCCTGGTAACACCAGGTCTTTGCCATATGTGGACATTAAAAAGTGAAATGAAAATGTGGTGACCTTATTGTAGAACAGAGTGTGGCTACCCTTAGGTACTGTAATATAAAATGCGTTAAGACAAGTGATGCTGTCTGCATCATTTCAAAGAATCAATTATAAATAAAAAACAGAAGGAAGAGAAAATCCATTTCCAACCTCAACTGCAAAAGCAATATAAATGTTGCCCATGTTGGTATTGTTACATATAGCACACTGTATTGTTGTATGACATTTCCAGAAGGAATTAAAAGCACCAGTCCTGGTTTTATGTTCAGCATTCATGGTTTGTTACATTGTACATAATGTACAGGTATTACCAAGTAAACCATTGACTTAAAATAAACAATTTGATTGGCTACCAAACATTTCAAGTGTTGTCAATAATCACCCCCATCTATCTGCCAGAATTTCAAGGCAAAATGATCAAGAAGCTATATATTCCTTACTGTTTTTCATAGTTTGCAATAAAGGAAAAAATCTAAAGTACAGCAAGGTCAGTCTGATTGTAAGTAGCAAACCAGAATGATATCATAAAGGTAGAAAGCAACAGAAACCTAAATTTGAACTCCAGAGTAGAGCATTTGGCAAAATTTAGCTTACTTTGTTGTGGAGATAATCTGTATTAAAAAAGTGACAGACGGTTTTAAATTTCATCCTCACTCTTTTTTGCCAGCTGGTCTAAATATATCTCTCAGCCAAAGTGAATACTGTTTAAATATAAACAAAATTCCATTACTTGAAATTCCCACAAATTCAAATATACTTGAACTTTGTGACAGGACCACAACAATAACACATCATGTTTACAATCATGATATATTACTTGTAATATTACAACTATGAAAATGCAGCCTAATATCAAGTTAACAATAGAGTTTTGTTTTCAAAAAAAATTTCAGCCGTGATTTTTTTTTGGGAAACCTGTCCAGTGTTGTGGAGTCTAATATCTGCTGCAGCTGCATTATTTGCAACAGATAACACTGAATAAATGACTATCTTGATTTTTATTTTTAATTTTGTCACCCCTCAACTTCGAATCACAAACCTGAATTTTTTAAATACATTCTACTAATTCTATGTAAGGAATCAGCAGGTTCAGGCACTTTGCTGAATTCCAATCTGTTCAACGAAAAAAATGTACTTTGCTGCCACTTCGCACAGAAAGTCAAGAAAATTTCATACATTGCTCACAAAGCTTGACGAAATGCATCGTGCACATAATCTTATATGTAAATGTTCGACCATAAATAGCGAGAACTTTTCCCCCTTTAAAATCCCTCCAACAAATATGTGCTAAGTACATAAATACCAGTAGGATTTCACCCTACAGATGGACATATTAATCCTGTTATCAAAAAAGAAATTCGACATTGTGAAGTTTTTAAACCCCGTCTAACAGTAGGAGACAAAATAATTTCAAATGTAAGGACATAAACAGATCGAAGTCCAATCACGGTATAAGAATAGCCTGCAAGTATTTTTCACATCCCACAGTAAAAACAACCTAAAACCAAAAAGTCGATTTCGACATTCTTCCATAATCCACAACTTCCGCGCAGCTGACCTCAAAGTAGACCATTTCCTTGTAAGACACTTAATTAAGAAATGTTGTCTGGCGAATTTGTAAGTGAAAGCAGAACCGACTTAAGGAAGAAAAGAAGAAGCGACAAAATTCAGTCCAAACTCACTGATCGATGTGTACATCGAATAAAGTAGCAAGTTTTGAAGAGACGATTTGCGTTGAAATGAACTAATGCTTGTACGTTGTACATTTACAAGCGAACAAAATTCAAGAGGGTTAACTTAAGCTGATTTTCCTTCATAAGCTAGCTCCATGCAAAAATGAAAAAAAAATGTTACCTTGATGCCAACTTGTTCTTCTCCTTTCTTGACTTGTTTCGAGCGTTCTGTGGCAACTGATGTATCGGCTTTAAGTCACCTATAACTTTGTTTAAGCGATCCAGCTCTCGGCTGATTTCTAGCAACTTTTTTGGATTCGGAGAAAGGTCATCTTGGTCTCCCCTACGACCTTTCCGATTTCTGGCTAATCCTGTACCATGCGAGTGGTTCTCTACATCAAAATCTTCATCACTATCCATGTCTTCATCCGCGGAATCGTATTCTACAGCAGGACTGCCCGGATCAGCTTCAATCGTGTCCCGATCGGCTACAATTCTCACATCCTCGCGCAGATTCGTTCCCTCTGAATATAATTGAGCTTTCATTTCCGCTGAAACTAACTTAGGCATTTGATTATTTACTTCACTGCCCAACTGTTTATCAAGCAATACAACTTTCTGTGATGAGTTTTGATCGTCCGCGGACACTGATTTCTCACCCTCATTATTGCAATGTGGAGAAGCTGTCTCTTGGGTCGTAGTCCATGTTGGTTTGCTCGGACGTTTCTTCTCCGCATCTTTAGAAACTAAAGACGATTTTTCAAATCTGTCATTATGTTCATAAAATAGAAGAACAGGTTCTTGTTTAACTTGAGCAACCCTTCTTTCATCCTTGTCCGACGTGAGCTCTAAAGCGATGTAGCCCTGTGGCTTCCGAGTTGTGCAATCCCAAGGGGAAGAATCGCCTTCCATGCGAGTGGCAATGCGATGAAGACGCTCCATTTCGGGATTAATCAAAGGAGACAGTGAGCGGTGATCGTTTAGTTCGGCTAAAGTAGGCCCAGCAACTTTGCAGTCCTCGTTTACATCATTTCGAAAAAATTCCAGTTCCATATCAAAATCGCCTCCGAGCCCGCCAAACGGAGAAGAAGGCAATGTCTGAACGTTGTCCCAGCCGTTTCGTCCTCCACCTCCATTCGACTCTCCCCAAAAGCTCGTCCGCGAGCCTTCGAATTCATCGTCCTCGAATGGAGAAAACACGCCAAAACTTTCCTCACACGAACTCTCCACGTCCAATGGAAGCTGAAAAATAATCAATTTGGAAAAATTCGTTATGTAACTTATCAAACAACCCAGCTCGAGGAAAGAGCAGAACTTGCTAAAATGACTTTAAGTTAAGTGCAGATTATAATTTCAACATAATTCTCATTGAAAAGGAACGTACTGGAGTAAAATCTACTCCTTGCTGCATGTACTTCTATGGCTCACTGAGATAAACAGTACGATTTCAACGAAAATCAGTCAGGATTAGACTTTCCCTCGAAGTAAATTTTCTCTTTGTTATTGTTTTCATTGCAGGCCACGGGTGAACCTTGCATCACGAGACCTGACTTGTCAAACAGGAAATCACTGACCAATCAAATCGCTCACCTTGGCCATAACGCCCCGCCTATCACAGGCTATTGTCACGGTTACAGGACCAAAACACTCGAAAATTTTCCCCTCGTTTCTGTAAGTCAGGAGTTTTACTTTCGATTTCTACAGGTGCGATAGCTGAAATCACAACATTTTTCCCACGTGTATAGCTTGGAACTGGCAAGCGAAATAAGAGAGCTCAGGTGACAAATCCTGAAAATTCTGGTTTGTATTAACGTCACGAGTCAAATATAGCTGCTTCTAGGAGGTGACGACATTGCCCCGGAGCTTTGTTCATTGACCAATCAGAGTAGTTCTCACGCCACGATCATGACGTCACCATCACTCAGCGAAAAAATACGATACCTCGGTCACGTTCACGGACGTTGACAAACCAACGACTTCCGTTTTTACCAAGAAAGACTGAAGAATTTTGCAATTATAGAGATCCGTTAATGCTACATACACGTTGGTAAAGAAAACTGCCACTATCTCAAAAGATCCTTGTTCAATATTTTTCATTAGAGCAGTGTATATTTTTCAACCCTGTTGCAGAAGTGCTAAAATACGAAGATGTCAATACAAAATTTTTCTTTCCAAGATTCAATACAAACTAATGTATTTCTGAACAGTTTTTAATAACTTTCTCAACAATAGAAAACCACTAATGTTGTCATACCAATCATTCATGACATTACTCTACTTCTCATCAATGCAAGGATGGGTGAATTTCCCTGAAAGAATTCATGCCAATACTGATAATGCCAGTTCCTGTTTAAGATGAGGACTAAAGCCTAAATAATTTGAACAATTTTTGAAGTTGAAAATAGTGAGCGAGTGACTGTAAGAGAGGACTGAAAAATTGGTACTCATTATTTGATAAATATTGGATTGTAGAAGTAAGGCTAGTCGGGGAAGACATCAAGTCTTGCATTGCATCAATAAACTGACTATATGAGCCCCAGCATTTTTTCAAGTACATCAAACAGCTAATATATACACTTATAGAGATTCTAATTAAATCTCAGAATCTAAAAAAATATATATTTCAAATTCCATATTACAGCTATGTTTCTCTTGAGAGAGTTTTAGTCTCAACAAATCCAAACATTTTTCCTTTAAAAAATATTCACTATGATAGTAGGTTTGCAATTTCCTGTTAAAATCTAATTTTCAAACTTGTCAACCATTACAATGTAATAAGTCATGAATTTCTCATACTAAGCCTAATCTTACAGAAATGTCAGAAACCAGAGGATGAACATCAATTTTTCAAAAAACTAGATTAATCAAGTTATTTGCTTACTTTAATGTTTTTCTTACGACCACCAAGGAAACCTTCACAACATTTGTTTACAAAATTACAATTTGTACATCAGGCCCCTGCTGCCCTTTCTCATATTTTTTTACATATTTTATATGTAGACATCAAAATGGTTACATGATCTTTGAGACTGTCTTGATTAGACCACTGTGTTTGTACGATCTCTATGAAGCTTCGATGGAATTTTGCTTTCATATTCATAAAGTTCAGTGTTGAGAACGACATTTTTAGAAATACTATAGAGTAAAAGGAAAACATTTTACTAATTTCCAGATTGAAAATGTCCCACATCTTAAATGCATTAGTGCCTAAGGCTTATCAGAGTTCACCTCTCGCATTTCATTTAAAAATCAACTACAGACAGTGATTACCTAAGGTCAAAAAGTTGGAAACTAAGGGGTTGTCTGTTCGCTTTTTGGAGACAAAGTATAACAGAGTGTTTTGGATTTAGCACTACCCACAAATAGATTAGTAAGGAGGATCATAGGTACTATTTGGGAGTTTAGATCGCATCAAATGATCTTTTCTGGGTAATTTTTGCTATTAATACAATTCCTTCAGGGAGAATAGATTTTAAGAAGGCTTCTCCCACGTCCTGCTGACCTATGTTTATATAAAAGTTTGACCCCAAAAAATCCAAAATAATGAAAATGTCCCATGCAGAGAACATTTCTAGACTGCCAGCTTTGTTTATGGGAAGTAACAAAGAAACTGAAAAAATAACAGGCGAAATTTAACCATAACAATTAACTGTGTGAGTGCATGTGTAGACGTCTAACCTCATTTACATGGGAAAAAGTCCAGCAGGTAAGAGATAATGAAGAACTGTAGTGTTGGGAGTGTGGACTTGGTCTATTTGGCAGACGGAATATTTTTTTGTAAAACTGTAAATAGTCTAAGAATAAAAAAAGATTTGACAGCAGCTGTGACAGAGATTGCCATCTTTATGAAATCTTTGAATTTTAAATGAATATGCTTTTGGAAACAGCTGCCTAACAGCTAAAAATAGTGGTGTTGTCAAAATTAATACAATTATCACTGTAAAAAGGACAAATAAAAAAAGGAAAGATTTGAAGTATTGTCCAAAGCATGAAAAATATCTAATTTCTCAGATATTGGGATCAGAATCCCACCAAGTTACAATTTTCAGGTACAGCACCTCTTAAAAGTAAGTTTACAGTCCCTCAAATTGATTCGCAATTCTCAAAAACCCTTTCCTAGACTGAAGCTGAGCTACAGAAGCCATGTTCAGGCCCATACTGTAAGTATCATGCACAGTTTGTGCAGAGCATGAGAGAAAGTGAATATGGATATATGTTGTTAAATAAAGAAAGATGCCACAATCAAGAGCCAAAAATGCATAATAATTACAAACTGAATTTACTGCCAGACATAAGTCAATAATTATTAATGTTAAGTGTCAGCTTTCAATACAACATGAAATTTGCCATGAGAGTCTACATATACTTTCATCAACTTATAGTTTATAACCAACAAAGTGTTTCACTTGACTGAAAGCGCAACTTAATAATTCTTCAGAAACTAATAAGCTTACTTCAGTTGTCATTCTGTCTACTATATTTTCATTAGTATATTAGCATCCACATAAAACTCAGGACTTAAAATGTACTCAATGTCCTAACTGGAACCAAAAAATTCATCCAACCAACAGATTTTAGAATTTTTCAAAGTAAATTTAGAGAAGTTTTGAAAAGTAAGCCAAAATCTTGCAACTTAATTCTTGCAATTCTATTATCATGATGGCTTATTTCATATTCTATTCAGGAAACACCCTCTTTAAACATCTGTGGCAGCTTGTTGCTTTTTTTTTTTTTTTTTTTTTTTTTTGCTGTGAGGCATGATTCATCAAAAATTTGTGTCTTAGATATCTTCAATCCAGTGAGTGTTACTTATAACTACAATAATGTTCACATCTTTATTTGTAAAGATATAAAACTAAAATTAATTTGCTCCTGAAACATTTTTCAAGTAACATGGTGATCATACATAAGCTGATGAAGAGCCCAGTTGAAATGTTTTAAACATTAAATTAACTTATCTACTGCATTTAATATTTTTCAACAACCTTTTAGAATTCAGGTTAACATGTAAGTTGAAAGATGTGTCTAAAATGATTATCTCAAATAGAAAAATGGGAAGGAAAACATCAAGACTATGAAATTTATTATGTTTTTTGTTCTTTTTTTCTAAATTTGAGATCATGCACACATTAGCACTTTTTGGTAAAACTGATAATTGCATTTAGCTGTCCATTAGAGATCTTCTTGACAAATGCTGGAGAAAACAGGCCATCTATCAAATGCTTGCACTGACATCAGCCAGAACCCTTCATGAAGCCATTAGGAAAAAATTGATAAAAATTTGATAGATTTATCAATCAGTTCTAGGACACAAATGGCATACAATGTCTAATTATCAGAATACAGTGTATAGTGAATATGAAAGCAATCTTTACAGCAATGAACACTACTTGATAAGCAGTCATGAAAATAAGGCCTGAAAAAATTCAGGCCTGTACAGGATTTGAACCCATGACCTCTGCGATACCAGTTCAGTGCTCTGCCAACTGAGCTAACAAGCCAACTGGGAGCTGGGTCATTATGCTGGTTCCAAAGAAACCCATTAAGTCATGATGAGAAAACAGTGTATAATGTTAGAATCCATTGGGACTCACATACAGCTTAGTTATCTTATGTAAGTTGTGAAGAACTACATGTACTTTCACTACATGTACCTTTGCTGTAAGCCACTTTTTCAGCTGCTGTTTCAAATCAAAATTTCATTGGTCTCCTGTTATTACTCACTTTTTTCAATTGGTTGCAATGTATGGTTTGTGGTTGTTTAAAGAAAAAAAGATCTGCTTTTCAACTAGAGCTGTATATCTATGCCTCTCAACAGGAACACCAATGAACACTGTAATGTCAATTCACATTTAAAAATCTCTCAAAATTTTATTCCCATTTGAGAATGAGATAAAAAGGAGAGTGAATACCAATTTAAACATTTAAGTAACCTCTGTCACAATTTTTACACTCAGCTGCATTCACAAGAAGCAACTTACAAAAACTATTAAATATTTCTGGATTTCTAGTTCTGTCTATGGGGAAGGATAAAATGTTCATCACAAGTAGATATTTAACTAGAGACTGGGAATGTTGTTGGTCAGCATCAGTATAAAACAGGTTCTTTTTTCCAAGAACAGTGAATATAGTAAAAAGGTTTGACAGCAGCAATAACAGTGGCTGCAATTCTCTTGATCAGTGAACTTTAAACCAAATATGCCACTAAAAATAGCTGCCTCACAGCTGAAAAACTTAAGTGTAAAATAAGCATTTCTAAAATTAACGTCATTACTTCAGTAAATAATAATTAACAATAAGATTAAATCACACATAGTCTTAAGTAAGGGAAACTCATGCAGCTTATCACAAGTCAAGCCTTGTTGCCTGCCTTACTGCATGTCCTACTGCATGCCACTATCTACTGTAAGTTAAGGGGCTAGTCTCCCACTATCTCAATTCCTATCAGCCAGTTTTTAGCTGCTGTTTTAATTCAATTGTTATCTGTCTTGTTCAATAAGCTACTTCAATCTGTAAGGTGCACTGCAGTTATTTATTGCTCTGTTACCCTAAGTCAGTTGTCATCTATATAAATCACAGACTAAGAACAGCCGAACCTGCACCAAATTAAGACTAAAAGCATCACCCTTTTTTATTTCACCATGCTTATATTTATAGTACCAGAGGAATCTTATAAGAATAATAAAAAAAGAAGTCTGAAAACAAAGATTTTTATTGTAATCAATAAACTTATAAAAGGAATAATGCTTGCTGCAAAAAGGCATAAAATTCCCTGATAAGTTCTCCCATTATCATAAAATATACCTATTTCTTGGCTTCCACTTAAATTTTTTAAATTAAATTTAAATTTGCTCAAGTTTATCTTGGTAGCCTGATGAATACTACACATTTTCCTTGATATCTCTCATAGAATTTTCTGTATACTAGAATTTTTTTCCATACAAAACTACAGAAGTGACTGGTTTGCATTCCAGAGAAAGGGATGATAACGTTTTGATCCACAATCAATGCACTTCAGAGCATTCCTTGATTTTTGCAAAGTGCAAATGCGTTTGCCACAACTGTCAATAAGATATGTTCTAAGATTTCTTGAACAACAACTACATTGTGTATAGAGAGGTGTTTATGCATTCTCAGTGCACCAAAGCACTCTGTCTTTTTGCTAGATGATTTGTACATCACATGTTTTGTTCCATAAAACCACTTGGACAGTTTCTTTCTGATTAGAGTGGATGGTTTTAGCATCAGGTGCACCATCCATTTCTGCTGCGAAACACTTTGACAGACTGGCTATTAGGTTAAAATTTTAACCCCTTTCATAATATCTCTAACATTTTGTTGTCAACCATTTTTATAGTTCAAGCTATTCCATGGATTGGATTACCTAAGCAGCAGAATAATTTAGTGATCCGTTTGAGCTAAATGACAAAACTTTACCACAGTTTTACATGCCATTCACTGTCTGTTAGCAAATCACCAGCTTAAACCATTTTCACAGAGAAATGTAAGACTATGATCACCTATATGAATGTGATAAAGTACAAAAAAAATACCTTTTGATTTCATGAGACAAAAATAAACAAAATATCTACAATGCAAGAAGACTGCAATATTTTGTATGGTTTGGCATCTTTTTCCACAAGTAAACAGATCAGGCAGGCAAAGTATGCTCCTATATATTACCTTTTCTCTAATTTTTGAGGGTAACCACACATTTGAGAAAGCAGGGCAATGACAACTTGGCATAGAAAAATCAGCTGAAAAGTGCCTTAGACAAGTGTGAAGTGGAAACAGTACTCTCAAGAAAAGTGAACCTTAGTGATATAGGTTGCAGCCAGGTGAATGAATGATTGTCCACATGGATAAACTGAAAAATGTCTTGAAAAAATAACAGAATATCTGTCCCAAAGACAGCCTGAAAAAATGTCACAAAAAAATACCATCACATCCTTACTAGTGGAACAATGTTACCCGAAATACTTTAATCCTAACCCCTATTTCACTTGTGTATTTTTGCACTTGGTGCGAAGGCAGTGTAAGTCTCTAATTGTCGAAAAAAAAAATCACCAGTGAGTAAAACTCTCTTTAAGTGAGGATAATTATTCATGTTTTTTTTCTAAATCTACAGAAGACTTTTAAATTTCTACCAAAAATGTACAAGTTTTTTTATGTTGAGGTATAAGTTTGGTTTGTGAATTATTAACTTAAATAGGCCACACCATGACTTGCCATGGCATAAAAAAAACCCTTGCACGTTGTTATTACTAAGCAGTTTTCAGTTTCTTTGAAGAGGAAATTCGTCCACTTCCCCACCCACTTCTCCCCAAAAACAAAAATCGCCCACGTCACACCACCCATGCACCACAGCTTACAGGTGTGAACATCGGAAAATGCTTTGAAAATTCTATAAAAATACATTTTACGTGAAACAGCTCGACCGAAGACAATAATACATCCGTACAGTATAGCTGAGAAAAAATACGTTTCTTTTAGTCAAACGGCGCCACGAGGCGATAAAATCAAACTACGACACAACACACGTCATTGCGGTCTGTACAACGCTACTCACCTCCTTGTTTTATGTGCTTTTAACTTGCTGAAGTGTTATTCTTTCAGTCGATCTTTTTGTGAAAATCAGCCATGTGATTTTGTTCCGTACAGCAAAATGGTTGGAAAAGAAAAATTTCAATCGGTCTGATCAAAGTTAATCACTGACACTGACATCCATTGAAATCGACTTTCTGACACTCCTAAAAGCGCCAGCATTAGCTAGTACCAGCGGAATTGAATTATAAGCATTTTATCCATATAAAACTCCATCAATTGTCTTTACTTCTAAAACTTTTCCTGGGTGGATCAGAGAGAAGTCAACATACAAAAGAATGGGTGTGGTAATCATCATCTTCTCACCTTTATTTGTCTTGGTTAAAAAAAAAAAAACCGAATTAAGATTCGAACCCTGGTTATACTTACACATTTGACAATTTGCTGGGTCTCAATACTGGACCTGGACTAGGGGACGGGGAACATGGGACAAGAAAGTGACGCAATCGTGGGAAAAACAAATACGAAACGCAGGGACGCGAAACATGGAACGTGAAAATTTAAGGATTGGAGATTTAGAACACAGAAGTGAGCACAGAATTAACCTAGTCAAAAGAAAAAAAATACATCTCTATTTCCTATTTTTTTACTCATGAATTTCGGTATTAATGAATTAGTTAATTCGAGCACCTCTTTTTCATTTGTGACACATATATACGATCATTTCAGAGTTTCGTTTTTCTATAAGTACAAGGGAAGTTCACACGAGAGAGCGCAAGGTTAAACATTGAACTTTGCAACAAGAACCATCACAGCCCACTTCAACGGAGAGTCGGATTTAGACCTACCCACCTCAATACTTTCCTCCAAGGATCCGGTTTTATCAAAAAGTAACGAATATCATCCGAATACACCACCAATCCCATGAAAGTTGCTGAAAGAGGTTCGGCGAAACTTATTTGCTTACAGCTTATTTAAAGCTTCACACCCCTACACCAGTGTGAATTTTCTCCGTTCTGTTCTCTATACTTTTCCTAAGTTGCTGAAAGGAGAATTTGTTGAACAATCAAGAGCTTCTTCAGTTGGTGATCATTTCCTTTATTATATTCTCGTGACCTTAATGTTCAACTCAACGTGGTAATGGAAGGAGATCTTAGATGCTAGTCACTCTTAGGACTCAAAGGGTTATTGAGATCCTTTGTCTTGCTTTAGAAAAACAAAAATAATCAATAAACGGAATTAATTATTCTTGCTCGTATGTCACTCATCCTATTCCGGCCACGCCCCTTTCTCTTTCTTCTTGGGCAGGAGTAGCGAATGTATAGGAGTGGTCTGGGGACGTAACAGTGGTTTTAACCCTTGGTTATTTCGAACTTTTTCGGGAAACAATAAAATTAAAGCGAAATTTTTAAGGAAAAATGGAAATGAGAATCGTAAGTAACTCACATGAGAACAGCACCTTAAAAGCTGATGAACATCACATCATGGCTAATAGTTTAATGACACACTTCGTTAGATTCCACTTAATCTTGTACAAGTGCATCGACAGCGGTTTCACAGATTGAAGAGGAAAAAATTTGGTCAATAGATGTACCGAAATACTTTAATAATACAGTCACTGTAGGCACTGTTCTGTATATAAGAGCATGATACTGTTGTGTACTGTACGTGGAATAACTATTGTACTCGAAGTTCTTCTTTTAAAATATCAATTCACAAACAAATAAATGAACGGATAAGCTAGAGAGAAAAAAAGAACCACGACAGCCGCAGTCGGATTGCCTTATTATTTCATAGTATAATTTATTGACAGTTGACTATCATAAAACTCAAACTTGCGTATAATAAATAATCAACGGCAAATCTTTAAAATGGTCATTTCTTCCGCACTATTAAGGCAATTTGGAATTTTCAAGAGAAAAGAAAACAAGAGAAATAGCACAAAACGAGAACTTGCCGAAACACCACTTTGCACCAGAGACACGAACATGCGAAACTTCAGTGAGAAGTTTCCCCGAAACAAAAACCTCCTCGCAGAACTTTTAACTCCCTCACTTTCAAAGAGCACAGTTCATTTATGAAACGCCTCCACTCCTTGCGTTCATCAGAGTAAAAATATTATATTCAGTAAAATGGAAAACTCAAGGGCCAAAGTTCGAATGCATAAAAATGTAGTCTCACATTGATCTTTTTGCGTAGAGTAAATAAATTTTAAAAAATGTTTTTCCCTCGTGGTTTGAGTTTTCTCTATAGCCTTTCTTTTTTATCTAATAAGTTCCTATAAGAATAATTCATTTGTTTTGTCGTTGGACAAAAACGAAAAAAGACGAGTTTGTCGTCACAAATTATTTCCCCAGAAAATGTCATGTCACTTAGGAACATCTTTGACTTCTATCGCGAGCTCCAGCGACTCCAAAGAGTGGCACCGCCAGCATAATCACTACTGCTACAGCCTCGAAGCAACCTTAAGAAATTCAAGGACTAAACGGTATCTTAAATCAGGGCCGCCTTTGATTCAACATACTCCACTGCTTTAGTCTTGACATTTTCTATACTGAGTGCGTCACCGTACTGCCGCTCAAAGTCCAGATACCGCTTGAAAAAGAGCTTCATCTTTTTCGAGGACAGATTGATGTGGATAACTCTTTCAAAAATTTGCCTAAAACAATAAAAATAAATAAATAAATAAATAGATACAACGAAATAAAAGAAAAAGGAGGTTGTACAGTTTTAAAACTCCGTAAAACCGTCATTCAAGAGCGCATTTTAGAGTGTATTTACCTTTCCCAAAATAGTGAAAGAAATTAAAATATCATAACACTTAATATTTTTTTAATTAAAAAATTACACGATGTTGCTGGAACAACAAAATGAAAAGTTAAATGACCCTTTGCTAAATTACCAAGTAAAGCCTTGATACTCATCTGGGTGCTGATATAAATTTTCTGTTTGGCCAACCCTTGAATTACCATGACTGACCAAGAGAGAATTCCTCCTTACAATATTAAGCGGACAAGTAATGAGAAGAAAGAAAATATTAATTTGGGAACTATCAGTTGATCCAATACCAAATTCTCCGAACCAGAATCATAAAAATTGTCAAGAGTCAGTAAGGAGAATCACTAATGTGATCTTCGGAGTGAAAGGGTTGAACGATGAGTGGTTTTCATTTTAAGCCGCAACTCTTAAGTTGTCCCAAGGTAATCTCTGCAGCACAACTACAAATTTTGTTTATCATAAAATGTGAGAACCGAGGTTCTTTTTCGTACCTAACAGGTTCAATGTCTCCTTGTTTGATCATCATATCCAGATACACAGACCACAGGTCGCTCCTTTTTGGATAGTTGGTCAGAATGCTCTCGAACATTGTCTGCCCTCGCTGTGGCTCACCATATTTGAATTCATGCAGGGCGAATTGGACTATAGTTTCGATATCTGCAATAAAAAGACCACAACAGAGTAATGAAGAGGCAACAATGCGACAAACAAAAAAGAGCAGCCGAGTGATAAATCTATCACATTGCTTTCACCTAGAGCGATGGTTTTTACAAAATTATCTTTGTTTCCATAATTCTATTCAACCTTGGGTGGTTATTTTGTGGCTTTGGTAATCAGGTTTAGGTCTGGTCCTATAGTCAGCATTTTACAACTTTTAAAATCCGCATTCCGCCATTAAATGACAATTTACATCAAAGCATCATAGCTATCCTGAGTCACACAAGCATAACATATTAAGTACCTTATTTAAGTCGAACCTCACTACAAAGGCCACCTTGACGACAGAGAAAAGTTTCCATTGTGCAAAGCTGGCCTTTAGAGGGAGGCAGAGGTGTAACAGGACACATGGAATTTTCAAAGCTAACCACTTTTTTTTTCGCCTTTTAAAACGGAATCCTTGATAAATGCTTTAATAAACTGTTGTCTCTATATAGTTTTTATCTACCTCACCGTTTTTGTATTTTTTTTAGTCTCCTTTGATTTGAAAGCAGATTCGCACTTCCAAAATTATGACTCAAAACATTGCGCAACTACTTTAGGTGCTCTACTGTGGAACTTTAGATCAAGCTAACTCATTCTATGACGAAAGATGCAACATACTTCCTCCCCTCATCTACCAATCCAAAACATCTTTAAACCACACTTGACTTACGTTTCCTCTTCGGCAGACTTTTTAGACTTCGTTGCAACAATTTCCTGCCCAAGTCAAGCTTTCCTTGCTTCATATAGAACAAACTGAAGCCGATCCACACCTTTTTACTTTGACTGAACCGCTTCACCATCGTATGGTACAACTGCTCGGCCAACTATAAGAGAAATATCACTGGGATTGTAACAAAAATGCGATACTGAGATACAACCGTGTCTAATGCATGCTACTATCAAATATCATTTCAACGATTACTACTTAGTAAAAACTTTAGTTGTTTTGAAGTTGTTGTTGTTATCGCTTATTATTATGACCATGCGATGTTACATGCTTCGTTCCCAGTCTTACCTCCGTTTTATCCGTTCTTGAGTAGATACCAATAAGTTGAAAGAACACTTTCTTGGGCTCATTTTGTTGTAGGGCTCGCTCAAACACCTTAACTAAGGACTCCTGCGTGCCGTAAAGGTTTTCTAAGTTCATTAGGGCCACCCACACGTTTAGTTTCTCTTGCTCTTCCCTAAAAGTGAACCAGACGAAAGCGAAATTTAAACGCACAAGTTTTTTTTTTAGCCTTGGGCCATTTTTACGCCGTGCAAAATTACGCTCAACTTCTTGTGGACAACAGAGATGTTACCGCGGTAAAATGGTGATACGTAAAAGAGGGAACAGAGGTAGAGAAGTATGGAAAAGACAAACGAGATCGAAGACCGCACTCGCGAAAAAAGGCGTAAGTAGAACCTGGAGAATTTGGTGTCCTATTAAGATAACACTCTCCAGTCGATACCTTGGTCCATTCTTATTACATCTTGTCAGGATAATCTTCTGATAAAGTAAGAACAAGTTACAGGTTTATCTCCTCAGGGAATCAAAATAGGTTAATTTGATTGTCTGCACCGAACGTAAGAGACTCTAGAGACTAGGTGGCCTCACTGAGATGTATTTTTCGTTTAAATTGCGCAGTGCCTCATGGTATAGATGTACTACCTGAATGATATAGTTTTCAGTGCTCTCTCGGCCACCGTTCGTGCCTTATCGATGTCTGTGGTATGAAGGTGATACGCCATGTACTGCAACCACACTACTGAGTTGTTAGGCGATGATAACACAGCGCGATCGAAGTCCTCGGCAGTCTCTGGCAAGCGATCCTGATCTAAAAGCGATTGTTCCGTCTGCGAAAAATAAGAGAAAAAGTGAAAGATTTCACAAGATATACTGCATAGGAAAGAGAAATTTAGATTGAGTGTTGGGAAACTAACCGCCCCATAGTCAGATTGCTCCTTTTTGGATCGCTCTAACGAAAGTCAGATCACTCCATCAAAAAGTTAAAAAGTCAGCGACGTACAATCAGATGGATTTCTTTGGCTTCGTAAAACGAGGTCACTTGTTTGGAGCGAAGTAGCTTCTCCTTCGAGCGATGTAACCTTTTCGATGGAGAGATCTGACTCTCACAGAAATGATTTAACAATTGGCGATCTAACTATGGGGCAAAAGTAACCGTAAACTAAAACCAAACTGATCACCACAATATGTCCTCAACAAAAAGGTCAACATAACAAGAACGTAATGAGAGCTCAAAGCAGAGATCTAAATGTGAACAAGCACTCGAGCACTGTTCCAGCTCATCAACATAACAAATCCATACACAAGCTAATTTTAGAGATTAACCTGTACTGGTGTGTACTTGATGATGAGACTTTACTTACAGTCTTCTCTTATTTCCATCACTTTACAAAAAGTACTCAGTTGCAATTTGCTATAGTTTAATATAATGCAATATTAATATATGCATGCCAATATGTTGGCAATATATTAATATATGCATGCCAATATGGCTGCCACGCTCTTTAGAGCTCTTGCAGTTTTCTATATTTTTACCTTCATAACTATGATAACAGTCGAAAGAGCTTATCGAAATCAATCTTTAACATCAAGATGCATTAGTTGGATGGCTAGATTTGAGCTGAGAGTATCCCGGTCTCGAAATCTCCGGGTAAGAAGGGCTATGGTGAAATGGGACAGTCGAGGCATGGTCTTCCTGGCCGCCCCTGAGAAGTTTGTTGTGCTCGACATTACTGTTAATATGGATGTCCATCCACATCCTGGACCTGAAGAAGTGGATAATGACCACGGTAAACGAAAACAGAGCTCCAACTCCTCGGACTCTGCTTGTCAACCTGCAATTGGGTCAGTCAGAATCCATTGCTCTCACAATCGTGACAGGCTACTTTCGCTGAGACGTTCGGCGGGCCGACCTGCGCCTCATGTTTTCGATACCCTTAAATCCCTGGGAATTCTGAAATACAGAGGTCCGGGATTACGAAGATTGGGGAAAATTACTAAAAATATCTCTGCATCGCAACACTCCGACAGATGTCGACCCATTGAAGTTGTTAAAACCCGGCGGTTTGCTAGACCTTATCGCTTCCAAGATCCCGCTAAGAACAGATATCTTACAGCTATTCCTCGAGAGCCTACTAAATCATCTACCGATTGCTCGGAGTTTGCCGTTCCCAAGTGTATGTTCATCAATATTTGCAGTCTCGCAAAAACTAAGAACAAAGTGCGTGCGGCGGTTGGACTTGAGGCTGACTTGCGATCTAAAGATATTGATGTTTGTGTCGTATCGGAAACACACCTCAAACCGGCACAACCGGATGCGATTGTAAATATTGAGAACTATTCCATCTTTCGTAGAGACAGAAATTGGAATGGCAGAGATATGCGCAATAAGGGTGGGATTGCTATATACATCAGGAACAATCTTGCTGTAGAGGATGTTTACCGCTCTAGTCTTTATGAATTAATTTGTATAACTCTGCGACTTCCCAAGGGACATCGATTTGTAATATGTGGAGTTTATCATCCCCCAAAATTTAATTATGCAGAGATCGATCTAATGAATCATCTTGTAAATACCGTGGATAATATACTAGACAAACATCCACAAACAGTTGTGTTGTGCGGTGGCGATGTCAACAAACTGGATATCAAACGCTTCGAAGAAATGTCTGGTTGGAATGCTCTGGTTAATTTCCCCACCAGAGGGAATTCTTGTTTGGACAACTGTTTCACGAACCGCACGGATCTCTTTTCAAAGTGCTATCCCTTTCACATGCTCTCCAAGACGGATCACATGGGAGTTATTTTACCACCCGGTATAAAGCTTCCACCTATCCGCCGTAAAGTATACGTGCGTGACCAAAGGGCTCATAGAAAGCGTGATCTGTATATCGCGTTGGCGAAGGAAAACTGGGATGATATGATACAGGAAACTGATGTCGATGAAGTGGTTGGTAGGCTCGAAAATACCATCCTAGGGCACCTGGATAGCTGCATGCCTCTGAAAACAGTGCGCATGTCTTCAAGAGACCCGGGCTGGATGACTCCGCTCGTTCGATCGATGATACGAGCCAAATCACGCATATCACTCAGTAATCTAGACCGTCTTAAAGTTATGAATAAAAGGATCTCTGAAGTCATTTTCAGAAACAGAAGGGACTTTATCGCCTCTATTGGAACTCGGGATTGGTGGAAAAAAGTGGATAAAACATCTCAGCGCCGCAAGCCGGTGATTTCTCTATCTCTTGGCCACTACGATCTCAACGCGTTAAATGACTACTTTGGTGACCTATGTACTGACCACGCCTACAGAAAGCCAACACCTCTGGAGATTAGTGAAGATCAGGAAGTCCCAGAAATCTCAGAGCGACAAGTCCTGAATTCTCTTATGCGTATAAAGAAAACAGCAACCGAACCAGATGGCATCCCGTATACTATATGGAAAGACCACGCCGAGCTATTCGTTCCAGTGATCACCTGGATTTGGAATCTGTCTCTTAGAACACACGCCTGGCCTGTCTCTTGGAAAAGGTCAGACCTGTACCCCTTGCCGAAGGTTGATATACCTAAGGGAATATCAGACTTCCGCGGAATAAATGTGACACCTGTCATCGCAAGGTGCTTTGAGAAAGCTGTCTTAGGAACACACGCAAGGGAGACCTTCGATGAACATTCTGGGATCTCACAGTTTGCATACATAGAGGGAGGGAGCTGTACCAATGCTCTACTGACTATCCAACATACTGTCAATCAATATCTTGATATCCCAGAGTGCAAAGCGGTACGCCTATTCGCTATGGATTTCAGCAAGGCTTTTGATAGTGTGAAACACGATCTCCTCTCACACAAATTGAAGCAACTCCCCCTAAATCCTTTTATAGTTAACTGGTATCTAAGCTTTTTGGAAGACAGGCAGCAGAGAGTCATTAGAAATGGGTTTATTGGAAAATGGAAAAGTGTCAACAAAGGTACCACCCAAGGAAGTGTCAGCGGGCCGCACTTGTTCAATGTCTTTCTCAGTGATTTAGAGATACACTTGGACAATAAGAGCGTGCTGGTAAAATATGCAGATGATACAACCATTATCTCGCCTGTGATAGGTGATAATGACAATTCTATCGCACTGACTAATCAGTTTTCCCAGTGGTCTAGAAGTAATGGTATGTGTAGCAATCCATCTAAGTGCAAGGAAATCATTTTCCGCAAGAAAGGTTGTACAATAGAGTTTCCGATGGTGTCTGGAATACCACAGACAAAAGAGCTTACTATTTTAGGGGTAACATTTCAGGAAGACAGTAGGTTCATAACACATATTCGGGAAAAACTAATTAAAGCAAACAAGTGCCTGTTCATTTTAAGATCTTTAAGGAAAGAAGGGTACAATCAGGCCGAAATAGACCATCTGTTTCTAAATCTGGTTCTACCAAATATATTATACGGGCTGTCCGTATTTGGCGCTGTAAATTCCGAATTAACAACAATCCAATGTTTCTTAGATCGATGTTATAAGCGCAAGTATACATCCGATCACATTAATGTTTATGAATTGTTAGTTCAACAGGACACGCGTATCTTCAAGAATGTTTTTAATAATACAATACACCCTTTAAGAGCTATAATGCCAAAAAAGAAATTAACCAAGTACAATCTGAGGAAAGAGACAAGTCACCATCCTAAAATAAACACTGATAGGTTCAAAAACACGTTTGTTAATCGCTTAATTTTTAAACATAATCTAGTCTTATAATTTTTATCTTGATTTTCTCTGTAATTTATATATATGCCTTCTTTTAATGTTGTAACATAGGATATGTGATTATTTATCTTATGACTTAATAAAGATTCAATTCAATTCATAGTGACAGAATTACCTTGTATAAGAACTCCTCTTCGGCTTTCTTTGCTGCCCTCTTCTGTCTTTTACTCTTCTTACGAGCAACCTGAAGGCGCGAAAATGTAGGAAGAATTACCTCGCTGTTGAGTAAAGTCTGATCAAAGGCGAAAGTACACGCTGTCAGTGAACTTTTGATCAATAAGCTATTCACAAACGGTACAGTTACGCAAAAGTTGAACGGTAGAGATGGGGGATTCACTTTCACCTTACGCTCGATGTACCTCTACTTGAAATGTGAAAATAAAAGCCTCTCAATGTAACACCATCTTTTTCCTTCACGTTCGTTTGATTGTAGTCGGTATGCATTCAAGACTGTTTTACGGTTGAGCGTTCGTTTGATGTCACTATCATGGTGCGCATTGAATACGGTTCCAGTTTGTAACAAAGGGTAATATTGAGAGAAGACAATCATCAGACAAAGTTCCCCTCTACATGGCATTGACGACTGAAAATCAAGATGGGTCTCTTTAAAACACATCATGGTACCATGCTGTGTACACTCTCAGTCTCCTCAGTACTCAGTAGGGCTTAATTATGCAGGACTTCAGAGTAATTGTACCAACGGTAAAAAGTGGATGGGGTGTGCGTCAGAATCCCAAACTTGGTAAAGTCGGTTTACTAGCTAAGGCGAAAGGGATGAGGGTCTCTGATTAAATAAACATTAGAACTTCACTATATTTTAGCTAACGTCAGCATCACTGATTCAGCATACAAATATGTTGGGAGCGCAAATCATTAAGCTAACGCAGGAAAGCAAGCTTCGTGCTGTGAAGAAAATACACTGGAAGAATCTAGCCTACTTGGGTCGACTACCAACCAAAAACTTTAAATCAAAGATCATTGTAGAATTTTAAGGAAAGTTGATCGCTCAACACACCTGTCCGCTGGCTTCAGTTTCACTCTCGCTGCTCTCATCATCGTCGTTATTATCCTCATGTTGTCTCTTTTGTGTCCTTTCTCTATAATTTCCGTCCTCGCTCCAGTCAAATCCGCTTGAAATCTGCAAAAGAAACGAACATTATTTCAAAACAACACTCAATATGCGACCAACACCGCTAAGATTGGTTGCAGAGTGGTTATTATCAAGAGATGGGATTAATTTTTGTTAACCACTCAAAACATTCAAAACAAAAAGAAGAGATCTTATTTGTTTAAAGAACATCACAGGAAACAATTTAAGCACAGATAAAAAAAAAGAAAAAAAACGAATACCTCCAATCTTGGTACTCCATTTGATTTGTGCGAATTTGCGTCGTCAGCCTTGAATATCAAAATAAAGGGAAACATTTTGATCATGAAATATCATTCCAACAAGAATACAGTAAACCCAGCGGTCAAGCGTTGGGCATGCGCAAAGAGATCAAATCTTCCGACCACGCGCCAATTTCCCGCGCAAATTTTTACTAGCTAAAGCCACTAATGACTGAAGAGTAGATGGGAAACTCTGCTTCAAATGCATCGAAGCTTTTAACCTGTTTACATGTTAGTGTGGCTGATTCGTCAAAATCCCGTTAAGACTTTGTATATTGTCTGACCTCTTCATCTGAAATGTTTCCAGATGTCTCGTCTTCTTCTTCGCTTTCACTTTCAGGGCTGTCCTCGTGATCGGAATCTGTGGAAGGCGAATCATAAAGCAACAAGGCGCTTTTCGATCGAGTGGCGTAACATCTTAACCATAATATACCCTCGCTAATAATCGGCCTTCCTCTCTGATACTTAAGAGAACATTGTTTCTAAAAATAGGCCCCTCTCTCTCAAGCATGTCTCGTGTCTGGTAGCTGGACGTCCTGTAAATTAATAGCTCGTGGGTTCTTTAGAGTGTATGTGCTGCTACAGTGCCTCTCTAAATTATTCGGATTTGGCTTTAACCGCCCTTTATTTACCTGCTTTGAGTTTCTTTAAAATAACTTCTGCTTCATCATCTGATCCGTCCTTTGTTTTATTCTCTTTTTCCTTCTTTCTCTTCCTTTTCTGTTCTTTCTTCTCTTTGTCTCGTTTCTCTTTTTCATCTAAACGCGTTGGTTTTGGTGCTGGGTCGGGTCCACCGACATCTCTCCCTTTCAAAGACAACTCCAGGTGTCCTTTGATCAGGTCAATACTACGTCAAAAAAAAAATTGTATGAAAATTACTTTTCATTCTTATGCAAACTACAACTCATTTTCCCTACAAACGTTTAGCATTTACCCACAGAAATGCTTTCCTTTGTTAACCCTTTACACCCCAACATCAGTATGCATATTCTTCATACTGTTCTCCGTACATTTCCAATGAGGCTGACAAGGAGAATTTGTTTAACAATCAAGAGCTGCTTTACTTGGTGATCATCTCCTCTATTCTAATGTCTTTCATGTTTGATTCAGGGGTGATATAGTCAGCAGAAATTAGACGCTAGTCACTCAAAGGGTTAATACATGTAATTGTTAGCTTCTTACTCGATAGTGTCACACCACGCATCGCCAAGTTTAAACTTTGCGCAAGGCTAACGATCCAGGGATTCACTCTGTTCGTGACGCGTCAGATAAAACTGCTTCCCTGTTCAACACTTAAGCTTGACTTACTTTTAATTTCTCCTTTAAACCCTATACATGCACTCTATGTTCAGTATGTATATTCTCCATACTGTTCTCTATACATTTCCCAAGGTGCTGACAAGGAGAATTTGTTTAACAATCAAGAGCTTCTTTAGTTAGTAATCATTTATTCTATTCTTGTGACCTTAATGTTTGATTCAAGGGTGATAATAATAATAATAATAATAATAATAATAATGATGATGATGATGATAATAATAATGGTTTATTAACAGATCCACCTGGTGGCTCTTCCCTGTTAAAATACATCAATTACAATTAAAGTAAAAAAAATCAAATTAAGTTATTTCAAAAATTACGCAATATGCAATTAAAAGTAGAAGTGGGATTAACAGAATAGAAATTACTGTGAAACTAACTAATCACTCTGTACTCCATTACATAAAAAATTCCTTGAAAGTCTTAAAAAGGTTCTATAATCTTTACAGTTTCTAATAGATTCTGGTAAATTGTTAAATAGCTTCGACGCGTTATAAAGGAGATAAAGAGAAAAAAGATGCTAGTCACTTTTAGGTGTTTAAGGGTTAAGCGACATCGCTGACTTAAAAGCTTTGGTCACGAGAATAAAGGAAATGATAGCCACCTCAGTTAAGCAGCTTTTGATTGTTAATCAAATTCTCATCGTCAGCGCCATAGGAAATAAATAGAGAAAAGCGTGGAAAAGATGTACCATGGTGATGTCGTGTAGAGGGTTATTCAAGACGCCCAAAAATCATACCCTGTTTGGCGACACGTGAATCATAAGGTTAACAAAGCGATAGCCGTCCTCAGTTGGTTTTTCAGCGTGTAACCGTATCACCGTATGTCCATACCTTTTCAAACAAATTACCTTAAAACTTTGCCTTTAACTAACTTTCCCATGGGGAATAAAGGCTTCCAGTTCTTCACGAAATACTGCGATAAGTTCTTTATTTGTACCCTGCCAACAATGTGATGGGCCAGACTGCAAAAGAAATTTAATGACCGGTTACACTTTCATTCTCAGTATGAAGAATGTTTTGTATATCACTAAAATCTCTTAACATCTTTTCAATTCCAACTTCCCTTTTTGCAGCAGCCAGATATGTAGTTTTCGAGTCTTTTCCATCCAGATTTAATAACTTGAACTATTTCATTAGTATCTCGCACAATGTTAGCATTCTCTTTCAAACGATTGTTACATTAGCATCTTGGGGACTAATAGAATTCTCTTTCGATCGATTATTTCGTCAGTATCTTGGGCACTATAACATTCTCTTTTGATAAATTATTTCGTTAGTATTTCATGCATTAACGTATTTATTCGATCGAACGCCGCGGCGAAACATGTCTTAGTGCTTGTCTAAAAAGTAATTTTATATCGTTCTCAATTTGACAATGTGCATGTTAATACTACTGCAATACATGGAGTGAATAAAGTGAATAAAGCTCTTATGTCGAATATGCTTTCTCGACATCAGAACTGGTTCATTCAAAAGGATTTGTGTCTAGTTCACTCAAAATTTCCAACTGCGATCGAAGCATCGATCGCTGTGTGCTATTCGAGGGCGGCGTTTATTAATATTTCTGCGCTAAAATGCGGCGTTTAATCGAATAAATACGGTATTAAAACTCTCATTTGATCGATCATCAAGTTATTATCTCGAGCACTATAAACCGTCTTTTGATCGATTGCTTCAAAAGTGTCTCGCACTCCTTGGATCAATCGTTTTGTTAGAACCTCATGCACTCAGGTGGTTAACATTCTCTTTGAATCGATGTTTCATTTGTTTGTCGAATTCCTTTTTGATCGATTCTGTCACTTGTGTCTTGCACACTGTTAAAATCGTTTTTGAATCAGTTATTCTGTAAGTATCTCGAGCACCATTAGAATGCTCTCTTGATCGATTGTTACGCTAGTATCTCGCGCACCATTAGAATTCTTTTTTTTGTCGATTGTTAATCTAGTATCTCGTGCACCATTAGAATTCTTTTTTTTGTCGATTGTTAATCTAGTATTTCGCGCACCATTAGAATTCTCTATTGATCGATTATTACGCTAGTATCTCGCGCACCATTAGAATTCTTTTTTGATCGATTGTTACGCTAGTATCTCGCGCACCATTAGAATTCTTTTTTGATCGATTGTTACGCTAGTATCTCACGCACCATTAGAATTCTTTTTTGATCGATTGTTACGCTAGTATCTCGCGCACCATTAGAATTCTTTTTTGATCGATTATTACGCTAGTATCTCGCGCACCATTAGAATTCTTTTTTTGTCGATTGTTAATCTAGTATCTCGTGCACCATTAGAATTCTTTTTTTTGTGTCGATTGTGAATCTAGTATCTCGCGCACCATTAGAATTCTTTTTTGATCGATTATTACGCTAGTATCTCGCGCACCATTAGAATTCTTTTTTGATCGATTATTACGCTAGTATCTCGCGCACCATTAGAATTCTTTTTTTGTCGATTGTTAATCTAGTATCTCGCGCACCATTAGAATTCTTTTTTTTGTCGATTGTGAATCTAGTATCTCGTGCACCATTAGAATTCTTTTTTTTGTGTCGATTGTGAATCTAGTATCTCGTGCACCATTAGAATTCTTTTTTTGTGTCGATTGTGAATCTAGTATCTCGCACACCATTAGAATTCTCCATTGATGGATTTTTACGCTAGCATCTCGCGCACCATTAGAATTCTTTTTTGATCGATTACGCTAGTATCTCGCGCACCATTAGAATTCTTTTTTTGATCGATTGTTTAACTAGTATCTCGCAAACTATTAGAATTATCTTTCGTCGATTGCCAATCTAGTATCTCGCGCACCATTAGAATTCTTTTTTCATCAATTGTTAAACTAGTATCTCGCGCACCATTTTTTTTTTGTTTTTTGATCGATTGTTACGCTAGTACCTTGCGTACTATTAAGATTTTCTTTGATGGATTGTTAAGCCTCGTTTAAACGGTCGCGATAGTGGGTGATACTTTCAACCATCACGCGCGTTTGAACAGGAACTAGTACTATCATACACTGTCATCGACTATCATTGGATATCATCAACTACCATGTAGTTTGGACATGTCCAAATTCCACAAGATAGTTGATGATAGTTTTTGCCGTTTGAACGAGCGGTTAATAGTGAATGATAGTTTTTCGGTCAGCAGTATTTCCAAAAACAGGCTCAAACCGAAACGGCAAACGGTAAAATGACTAAAATAGCCGTCAAAATTTCGCGTAATGTCTTGTAATTCATTCTAATCATCTCCTGGTAGGCTTCAGTATCTTCAACTCGAAACTTGCCGACGAAATGCCACCGACCTCAGCGCGCGCAATACTTGTTTACAATTACGCGATCTCATTGCGTGATTTTGTCAACTATCATAAACTGTTTGAACGCGAACATGATAGTCAGTGATAGTGAATGATAGCTGAAACTATCATCGATTGTAATCTACTATTATGACCATTCGAACGGGGCTTTACACGAGTATTTAGCGCACGGTTTGGATCGTCTTCTGATCGATTTGTACGCTAGTATCTCGCGCATTATTAGAATTCTCTCTTGTTCGATTATTACACTAGTATCTCGTGCACGGTTAGCATTCTCTCCAGAGCCCAGTTGTGTAAAGGGCGGATAACACTGTCCAACGGATAAATCGCTATCCAGCAGATAAGTAATAGCAAAACGTATAGCGTTATTCACCGGATAGAGATTTATCCGGTGAATAGCGATATCCGATCTTCGAACAACCGGGGCCAGATCGATTGTTATGCTAGTATCTCGCGCACAATTAGAATTCTCTTTTGATGATTGTTGTTAGAATCTCGTGCACCATTACCATTTTCTCTTCATCGATTGTTACGCTAGTATCTCGCACACTTTTGGAATTCTTTTTGATCGATTTTTACGCTAGTATCTCGTGCATGGATAGGATTCTCTATGGATCGATTATTACGCTAGTATCACGCTCACGATTAGGATTCTCTTTGATCAATTGTTACACAAGTATCTCGCTCACGGTTAAGATTATCTTTTATGGATTGTTACACTGGTATCTTGCGCATAGTTAGGGTTCTCTTTATATCGATTCTCACACCAGTATCTCGTGCACAGTTAGGATTCTCTTTGGATCGATTGTTACGCTAGTATCTCGCACACGGTTAGGATTCTCTTCCGATTGATTGTTACGCTAGTAACTCGTGAACTATTACGATTCTCTTTTGATTGATTGTTATGCTAGTATCTTGCACCCTGAAAGGACTCGCTTTCGATCGATTTTTTCGTTAGCAAGAGATATTTTTGTTGGCATCTCGTGCACTATTAGAATTCTCTTCTGTTTGATTGTTACGTTACTATCTCGCGCACTGTTATCATTCTCTACTGATCGATTGTTTCGTTAGTACCTCACACTCTATTAGAATTCTCTTTTGATCGATTATTACTTTAGAACCTCGCACACATGCAGTGAACATTCTCTTTTGCACTCGGTCCGTACGTCATGACCACGAGCCAAATATTTTCTCGTGCGGCCTTCCCACTCAAGCAATTAGTATATATATGATATATTACCTGACAAAGACACCCACATCAGAACAACTCTTAACAAAGCCCCGGATGATGTCCCCTTCTTTTAGATCACTTATACTGTTGATCTCGCGATCCTCCTCGTTAGTATTTGCAACTGTACAGAGAACCCAGAAAAACAAATCAGATGGAACAAGCCGTATATTTCTTAATTACAGTGTTGTTGGATTATCAATGAAAGATACTTTCGGACATGACAAATTAGGACTAAAAATAGAGCTCTGGAAATACCTTTGATAATGTAAAATTGAAATTCTTCCGACAAATAACGAAAAAAAAGATACACTCAGTAAGAATTCAGTTACCTTCCTCGTTTATTGTTGCCACTGCTTGTGTCCTAGCACCCAATAAGAAAAGAAAAAAAACATAGCTATTCAGTTAAGAGTTCCAGTGGACCTGAATAATTTACCTCTTTTACTTTCGGAGTAAACAATAAGTGAGTTCTCCCCGCAATATCAATACAATGACAGGTAAAAGTAAAAAGTTAAAGAGGAGAAAGAAAAATACTTACCAGGGGAATTCGTTTGATTAAAAACTAGATTCATAGAGCTCAAGTTATAAGGGGTTACGGGGAAAATATTTCTCTAGACCAGTTTCTATTTATTGCTTTAGCATGAATAGAGTCTCCGAACGATTCCAAACCATTTCATTAGATCGCAGACTCCACAAAACAACACCAAAATGCAACCCTTGGATAGTGACTATATCTATTCAGAGAAACAAATCGGCAGAATATGTTTACTTGTGACAAGACACGTGTTTGTTCTCACCTTGAAGGTCTAAGTGACAGATCAAATTCGTCTTTGCTTTTCGTTGACAGGACAAAACACCTATATATTGAGGCAAGTATTGATCACTGATGTAAAGCCTATTTGACTACATTACATATAAATTCTCTCTTCCTGGACGTCCCCATCCCCTACCCCCAGAAAAAAACGCTTCTTTCCCTCCCCCTCCCCAAAAGATTGCTTGTCCACCTGCATAATAGCGGGTATTTCTTTTTACAAAATATCGTTCTTAAGGAACGCAACAAAGGATTGAGAAAAATATCGACCCAACAGAGAGTTAGTGTCAAAAACGTAAACGCTAAGCCATCTTAACTCCACCGAACGCATGTGACTTTTTTAGCTTGAAAACCACCAATTTCAAGCGTGTAATGATAGACAAAGGCATTGGCTTACCTAACAAGCTGCATGGTTGTAAAGCTTTCCAAAGGATTTTCCTCATAATTGTCACTGAGGTCTGTGAGACCGACCACACCATATTTGTACATGGGAAGCCGGACGAGGAGTCCTTGGTCGGGAAAAATCTTGGCAACCTGGCCTGTTAACACTTGGGTGACCTCGATTTTAGATCCAGCTTTGACTGAAGAAGTACAATGATTAAGTTTAAACCGTTGAATTTCACCCCTATGATAAATTTGAGTGATGGTTCCTATACTAAGTGACGGGAAAAAAAAGCCAAAGAAAAATTTGGCGGGCTAAAACATTTTCATTGGCAATAATATAGGCACGGCCAAACATGATCGCTATTTGCAAAAGCAAATTGTTGCAGTATTGTAATAGAATATGTGTTTATTGTTCATCGCAGTCTCGAATGTTCCAAATTCATCAACCAAACCCCGTTGCGCTCCCAGATTCTGGTTTCATCTAACTCGGAGACGACTTATGACTGAAAAGTTCTCACCATTGATTGAAAGGTCCAGCAATTTTTTTTCTTCATCCACGCTCAACACCACACATCTGTATCCATCTCCAGGCTTGAAATGAGTTTTAAGGGACTTCAACACCTGAAAGCGTAGCAAATGAATTAACTAGCACAATGACATTTAACAGAAGCTACGGTTATGAAGAGTCAACAAGTAAATCGCTCATAGTTTAGGACAGCGTATTTGCGAGTACCTAGCACTTACCTCCAAGTCAGACGAGGCGTGTAGAAGCGCTACTCTCCCGTTTACAGCTGGACTCAACATCATCCACACGCAATAATCTGTGGCCTATCGATCAACAAAAAGTATCAACAGAAGCAACCTATGAATATGCTATTATAAAATCATTTCACTCTTAGGACGCGTATCGCAAAACCCAAACCAAAATAATTACAACAGTCTATCAGAGCAGAGGAAAATGTCACATGGAGCCTGTGAGAACTGAAAAGCAAACAAAAAAACTATTTAATGCGCGGGAAAGTGCGTGAGACGGGTCGCGATTGGTTTTGGATCTAATTGGTGGAAAAAGTGGTGCGTGTTTTCTTTGGACCAATCGTATGGCGAAGTAAGGCAAAACCAAAGTAATCCTACATTAATTCCGCATTTAATTGGAATTACTCAAATACGAAGTTCTCAGGATACACGCGTCCCATCCGCGTGTATCCTGAGTACAGAAGTAATGACTAAAGAGATACAGTAGTTACAGCTATCTTCACTGCCTATGATAATTATATTGTCACGTACCGACTTCACATAGCAATTTACTTCTTCCCCAACTTGGTAGTCCACAAGTTTCTTGTCAGCTCCGCCCCCTTCAGTATTTCCATTTGAAGCACTCTGCTGATCACCGCTGACTTCTAATAACTCACTATCAAAAGTGGGGGCAGCGACAAGACAAAGATTAATGACGAAACGTAAATTAATCTAAGGTAATGTCACAAAAAAAAAAAAAACTGCAACCGTGTCCGTGTGCTTTAAGCACCAGTCTAACATTCTCTTTACCAGGATCTCTCTTCTCCTACCCGTCAGCAGGGCGAGAGTGAGGGAAACAAGCTCTCTCTCTCTCTCTCTCTCTCTCCTTTCCTCCGAGGGCGGAAGAAAGAGAAAAACTGGAAACGAATATAAGCTGATTTGTTCTCGGTTTCCCGATTTCAATTGCATGGCGGCGCTTGCTTGGCTCTCTGACCAGTGAGCATGAAATTCAAGTCATCATGTATTATATATCATATATCGATCGACTAACTCTTTTCCAAAAATGGGGTTTTCACATTTTTAAAACGAAGCATGAGGCCACGTTTAAGAAAATCGTAAATTCTAAAACAGCAAGACTAAATAACATCTACTTATTTAATGTAAAAAAAAAAACATTTTACATAGAGAACGACCACGAAATATTCAGTACACTATGCTAGGTTACCTGGGTTTCATTGTCAGCTCGGCTACAGATTTAGTGAAATTGGTGTGCGTTACTGGTAAGTACCTAAAACAATAAATAATATTGCGTAAAATGAATATCCAGTACCAAAACCTACATAGAATCTTTTCAAAGATTGACGCCCTCAATTTGAAAGACATAAAATTATTTCTTCAACCAAAATTTTGTTACGCACAGGATTGAAACAGGCAGACTGTTTATCATAAACCACTGACGTATGGATCAGTTTTCAATTGACAATGAGGGTCCAAAATAAACTGGTATTGCATTGGTTTCGCAGCGGTACGCTCTTTGATTGGTCTGAGAAACGCACGCTGCTTTCTCAACCAATCAGATACAAAAAAGAAAGAAAGATACTTTCCCATCCAATCTAACGAAAAGTTTCAACCAACCGTAACTTGTAACCATAAACGTGGTTAGCCACGTTTTTCTATTGAAAGCTGTTTACTCAATTCGAGTTTTCATTGATTCTTCCTGATATTTTCCTTCGTTCTGGTTACCCTTGGCGATTAATTTGCTTTTGGTTTAAAGACACTCGTTTAAAAAGCGCTCTATCATTCAATTATGAGACCTCTTGACAGAAAGCTTTACATCACTGTTTTATCACCAGTCAACACCTTCCAGAAAAAAACTTGGATGTTTGACAAAGCCCGAAAAACTGACATCATATCAAAGATCATAAACTTAGAATTTACTTGTGCGTCTTCACGTCGCGAAATCCAAGAATCTTGACTTGAATTTTATCCCCATTGTGGAAGCCCTTCAGTGGTGACTCTCCCTTTAAAGTAAACATACAGTAATTAATTAACCCTTTACACCCCAACATCAGTATGCACATTCTCCATACTGCTCTTTATACATTTCCTAAGGTGCTGACAAGGAGAATTTGTTTAACAATCAAGAGCTTCTTTCGTTGGTGATCATTTCCTTTATTCTCATAACCTTAATGGATGATTAAGGGGTGATATTGTGAGGAGAAATTATATGCTTGTCACTCTAAGGTGTTAAAGGGTTAAACCTTAACACCCCGACACCAATTTGCAAATTATTCAATGTATTGTAAGGCAAGTTAAACTATTTCAAAACGTCAATTGCTGAAGAACACCAATACGTTTTCTTACCTGTACAACCTCATCCCAAATTTTTGTGACATGCACTCTTCCATGAAATTTCCCATTACACAAATTCACATTCATTTGAAGGTCCTTAACTGACTTCACCCTAAAATAAGATAACAGTTTACTACGGGTTTAAATGACAGCCGAAAAAACGTTATCGTACTTTGGCGACGCATTGAGAAAATCGCCCAACAATGAGTCTACCAACAAAGAAGTAAGTTTTCATCTTTCATACATGTCCTTCCTTTACAGCAAAGTCCTTCGCGCGAGTTAAAAAATCTTTGTAGATGTGAGCGCGACGCGTAGAACTTGGTGCACCCCGCTCCCTGAGGTCTGCGCTCCGCGCTCACATCAATTTTTTTTTTGATGAAGTTTTTTGATTCACGCGACTGACTGCGCCGAAAAGGGGGGACTGCGCGTAGTTTAGTGTTTGCGTTCCTTAGCTTACTGACCGACCGAATAAAGAGATAAGACGTGAATGATATGCGAAACACCGTATTTCTTAACTGATTAAGGACAAATTTACGCTTCTTATACAAAAGTAACATATTATCACTCACTGCGCTGTGGCAATAGCACCAGGCACGACATTTTCCTTTCCAATTTGTTTTTCTTGAAGGATCACTAAAGGTAGAAGGCTGCCGTTCGCCTTGACTGGTCTAAGCGGAAACAAGTTAACAAACAATTAAACAACGTTATATTTTAACAGTTGTGTCGAAATTTTATTTTACTTGTGAAGGCTTCAACTGACTTAAATAGCACTTCTGAAAACCAGACAGTGCATCTTATACGCTGCCTGTGCGCCGCGAAAAACTTGAGGCACCCAACAAGGGCACTTGGTGTACACCTGCTCGCAGGTTAGAATTTTCACATTTTATAAAACAGGAAGATAAGGTATTGTGACACTTGTTAGAATTTCTAATCATTGCAATTTCCAGTTTCGAATATTTTTTTTGTCCGGATTTTGGCAAAGTGTCACATCGGGTGACCTCTTAATGGTCATGTATAATTTTATTCCCCTGGAATTATTTCATGAATTTTCAGCCGACGCCTCTGTAAGGAAAAAAGGCACATCCAACTAATAAATGCACTGCAGCCCATTGAACTCAGTTTTGAAAAACTTAAAACTAAGCGGAGGAAAACTGGCATATCATGATCAAAGTAAAAAAGGACACAAAACTGAGGTAACGTTTAGGTCCCGGTTGTTCAAAAGGCTGATAACAATATCAACTGGATAAATATTTATCCGACGGACAGCGCAGTACGTTTCGTCAACACTTATCCGCTTAATACCGTTATACGCTGAATACCGTTATCCGCTGAATACCGTTATCCGCTAGATACCGTTATCCGCCCCATGAACAACTGGGCCTAGATCACGTCACTTTACAGCAAGAAATACCTGTGGTAGAACGCACCCTATCCCTTACCTTTGTACTATTGAAGAATATTCTTGTCCCACAGCAAATCGCTTTGATGCATCTCTGATGTCGTTCAAATGCTACAACGCAAAAATTCAAACAAAACTATGATTAAACTTAAGCCTTCTTTTAACTCTTTAACCACTGAGAGTCACTAGCATCACCTCGTTAAGGTCGTGAGAATAACGATGGAAAGGACAACCAATAGAAGAAGCTCTAGATTGTTAAACAAATTCTCCTTGTCAGCATCTAAGGAAATGTATGGAGAACAGTATGGAGAATTTGCATATTGATGTTTGGGTGTAAAGGTTTAATCCATCACTTAAATGCATAACACCGTAACCTACCCAGTTTTCACAAGGTCAGATATATTCATGAACTTGCCTTTGTTTTATGAAACAAGGAGGGGCAAGTTTATCAAAAGTCCCGTTAGTTACATATTCAAGAAAAGCTGTTCCTTATCATATCATCTTTTTCTATTTTTCCTGCCGTTTCACTTACAAGAAAGAGATAGTAATACTTTGGGAATTCAGACCACATATACGATTAGAAACGAAACAAAGTGGACTGGTGGTTGGGCTGAGACCCGCACAAATATTCCTCAGCTTTAGAGAATGAAATATGGCCTGGGGACTGTAAAGTTAACGAGACTTTCAACAAACGAGCCACAAGAAAAGAAATCACTTTGAACTGGTTCTGGGTAGAGCGACAAATAATCTAGCCTCACCATTTTAGTAGGTGCATACGCCAGCTGGTAATTGTGTTGAGGAATCGTCACCACAATGTAGTTCTCCTTGATTAGTTGAACACAAGCCTTTAAAATGCGTCCATGTTTCAGCTGCAAAAAACACAAAAGCCCAACATGCTGGTGTCTTTCCCAACCTAAATAAATTGTTAAATCCTCCAAGAGACAATTGCTTAGACCATTAAATAAACAAAGTTAGAAGAAAGCTTTACGAAATGGCATCTTAATAAGAGATTTTTCCAACTCTCAAGATCTGATCAGCAATCCTCCCTTCGTGCTGCTATAAATTTTCCTCGAAAATGGTTACGAGAATTTGGCATAAAAAGTGCATTTTGACTGAGTTCTCTCAAACCAAAACTAAACTAATCACAACAGCCAATCAGACGTACGGATGATATTACAGGCAGCCCAAGAGGAGTAAGAACACGCAAACTGCTTCGAGCGCGGAAAACGCGATTGACCAAGTCGCGATTGATTGATTGATTGGTTGAGAAGAAAAGGCGGGTGACGTGAAGCATTATCTTCATGGTGCTGCAAACCAGTCACCTCGTAGAATATGTGAAGTTTACCCTTTTTTGTTTTTCTTTTTGAGTCTCCACGGCCTTCCTTTCAGCTACTAGTTCTGGATTTAATGAGACAATCACACATTTCTTATCGAAATCCCAGTCCAAAACACAGCCGAACACAACTTCGCCTGGCTCACAGCTTACTCCTTAAAAGAACAAACAAAAACATTAGGGAGTGAAAAATACTCTACAAAGTCATGTAATATATCTTTTTCAAAGCTTTACAACTTGAGAGGCAAACGATATTGCTTAAGTTTGAGAGTTTTTCTATATAAATGCTCCACAAGTTTCAAAAGGAATTGTGACACGATTATGTAAAGAGGACTTCCTCGTCAAACTGTCTGCCTGCGTGGCAAGTGGTTTTGAAAGTGTTTTCATCCAAAATTAAGGTTGCAAAGCAGTAAATGAAGCAGAAGGACGTGCGGGTAGAGAGGTGAATTTTCTACGTCCTATTTCTCTCGCGGATTTTCCAAAAACTATCAGCTACACAGTCTCTCCGAATGTATACGTGAAACATGATAATACTCAGCAACAAAATACCTAGTAAATATACCTTTGGCAAGCTGGTGGGGAGTAAAACCCTGAACGCCGTTGGCAAGCTGTAAAAGGATGCCTCGGAATTTCACACTAAGAACCTGAACACAGAAATAACGCAGAAGTATAAACTTTATCACAATATTACCTGGAGTGCCTAGTAACTCAATTTCATAATCGAAAGTATGAACCCCAATTGAAGCTCTTTATAAACATTTCTTGACTGGGGCTGGAAAAATGCAATTTTCAACGATGAAAATGGTATTCCGAAGTTTATAAAATACATGCAAAAATTTCAGCATCCTCGTCGGCTGTTAAGTACGTCAATAAATGTCAAAAAGTGCATAAAATTGAAAATGAGCGCAATTTACATTTAAAAAATATAAATTCTAGCCCGAGAAATTTTTTGGTCGTTGAAAATTTTATGTGTGCTTATTTGCTCTAAAATGATCTCAGAATCATTTGATCACCGGTACAACTTAACTTCAACATTGAGCATGAATAATGCTTCACTAAAAAAACAACATTACAAATTACAAGTCCTTCAATTTCCTCACCTTTGCCTCAACACAGGATCCTGGACCAAGTGAAAACAGAGCCTCCATGTCCTCTGTAAACAACAGAACCACAGTAGTTATGATTATAATTTACGAATGAATGGTGGAAGTCATGGCGTACTTATTGGTGAACACAGGAAGTGATCAACATTTGTTTAAAACTTGTCACCCTTACCATACACACCTGAACTGGACGCCAACTGTTGAACAATCTTCTGTCTCTCAAAGAGATAATTTTCCAACAACTCTACAGCAGGATCAGAACTCCCTTCAACGATAATTTCAGGGCAACAGTCGGACATTTTGAGGCTAACAAGAAATCTCTGCCTTTCTTCATCAATTTCAGTGACCTAAAATGCAGAAAGAGAGGACAAAGGACGTGTATGTGTTAAAAAGAGCCCTGAAAACTGCTCTATCCTAGTCTCTATCTAAAGACTCTTACTTAGCTTTACATTTGACCTCTCCCCGAGAAAGTAAACCTTCAGCAGTCAGTTGTTGTCAATATAATGCCGTGATTTGATCCTGAACAACATCAGTTAAATTAGAAGTAATGATCTAAACAAAATAAGCTGATTCGAATGAAGCAAACCTTTGCCATAACTGTCCGTCCAGTAGGAAAGTGAAAAGCGGGTTCTGACACAAAATGATCAGCAAGAAACTGAAAAAACAAAAAAAAACCCATAAACATTCAAATTTGCAGATTGAAATAACAAAGGTGAGAGCAACCATACAGTAAATGAATCAGAAGGCATCTGCTACGTTCTAACCCCTTACACCCCAACATCAGTAGACATATTCTCCATACTGTTCTCAATACATTTCCTAAGGTGCTGACAAGGAGAATTTGTTTAACAATCTAGAGCTTCTATCATTGGTGATCATTTCCTTTTTTCTTGTAACCTTTATGTGTAATTTTGAGGGTGATATTGCAAGGAGAAATTAGATGTTAATCACTCTTAGGGGTTAAAGGGTTAAGTGCTGACTAGGGTCAGTTTTGTTGCAATTAGGAAACGACGCTGCCCTCTTGAAGGACAATTCTCTCCCCAGGTAATAATTGAGTATTATTTATTATAAAGGAAACCTGCGTTTAACCTTAAAAGGATGAGGAGGAAGGGCAAGGGGAAGTGAAGACATTGATACGAAAGGGTGTATCTTGCAGCCCATACTCGGTGACTGTGGGGCAGAGAGAGGAAAATACAACGACAGTTTCGGTTAAACAGGCTTAGCTTTTTGATCTCTCGCTAAGCGTTCTCAGCCTGTCGCAGCCTGTCGCAGCCTGTCGCAGCTCATTCAAGAGAGCTTCCTGTCAACAAAAAGCAGGCTTTGTTATGAGTTTGGTGTAATAATTCAACCCCTATTTACGTCTTGTTTTTCCTTATGTGTAGTGTCTCTCAGCAAAGAGCGACGAAGAACGGCAAGGGTACTTACCGAGTTTGGAGCAAGCCCAAAAATTCCCGTTGAAAACTCAACGAACACTCCATAACTCATCACTTTTTTGACAAAACCAGGTAAGATCATTCCCACCTAAGATTAAAACAATGACATTAGTAAATAATACCCCACAACCGCTTTGACAACCACGTTATTTTCTCTCTGACCCCTCCCTAGTTGAATTGGATGTACTGTAGCAACACTGTACTTACTTCGACGTCGTTAAAGCTGGTAATAAGTCTTTCCTCAGATGCAGCTTTTACAAGAGATGGTTTCAAAGAAACAGTCTACGTTAAAGTGTGGTTAAGGAATTGAAAGTAATCCCTAAGTTGATTTTAGGCGCACTTAGAACTGTTAACATGCACCAAGTACCATCATACACAGCACATTTACATTATTCATCACATGTACTGAAAGTTGAGAGATTCATATAACGCAGGGGAATGGCTACAAGTTAATGTATTACGATTTAAATCTAAGGAATAGTAAGGCGGATCAACCAGTTTACTCTGTTTCGTTTCATGACATTTTCATCGTTTGAGTTTCTTTCATAAATGTTACTAAGTCAAAAAAAAAAAAAAAAATTAAAGGACCAGAAACTATCAGAACAAAATGGTCCCCTGGTCGCACAGGCAAAACTGTGACGAGTCCCCAGTCAACACCAGCGTGGCACTAACCCATCGGTCCTTGCCCGCGTATGTTGCCCGGCTTTTAAGACGACTGTAGACGAGTAAGGGGAAAACCGCAACGAGCAGTTCACGAACAACCGCTACAATGGCCATCGCATTTTTTAACTCAAGAATATCCATTTTGTACAACTCCTTATCACCAAGATAGAACAGGGCAGCGTCTAAAGTTCGAAAGATAAACCCTTTCACTCCAAATATCTCAATGTCAATTCTTCGTACTGTCTGCCATATATTCCTATAAAAAATTTTTTTCCAGAGAATTTGTTGTTGGATCAAGTGATAATCCCCTAGTTAACATTTTTTGTTATTCTTATCACTTGGCTGGTCACCCCTGAGTTAGAGGGTTTACTTCATCTTTGGAATCTAAACCCTCTGACCCCTAAGAGTGACTAGCATCTAATTTCTCCTAACAACATCACCCTGCAATCATACATAAAGGTCATGAGAATAAAGGAAATGATCACCAACTAAAGAAGCTTTTGCCTCTTAAACAAAATCTCCTTGTCAGCGCCTTGGGAAATGTAAAGGGAACAGTATGGAGAATATGTAAACTGATGTTAGGTTGCAAAAGGTTAATACGCGATCAGAGTCAGGATTTCACTATACTCTTACATGGCGTAGTTATAAAGTAAAAGGTTTCGAGATAATTCTTCTCATTAAGCGCACTTCACTTACAACAATTTTCATGCAAAATGTTTGATGCATTTTAAAGTAACGTTGAATGTATGAACATCATATTTGTGACCTGCGGATTAAGAATTGAGCATGAAAGCGATATTCGCAGTAGTGAAAATAAGGCTTGAACAAAAATTCAGGCCTGTACGAGATTTGAACCCATGACCTCTACGATACTGGTGCAGTGCTCAACCAACTGAGCTGACAAGCCAACTGGAAGCTGGAAATTATGTTGGTTCGTAATAAGACCTTAATTTTAGGCCTTATTTTCACTATTGCTTAAGCAGTGTTCATTACTGCGAAAATCTATTTCAAACTCGCATTTCATAGTGTTATGAGTTAGGATACAATTTCCTGCCTCTTGTTCCTGCCATAACAAAAAACATTGGTCAATCTTGTTGAGGGTTTGTAGACAGAGAGGAGAGCCTTGCAGTTGCCGACATGATCTGATAAATGCGGAACTGGAAGAAATGCTGGTGCACCGCTAGGAAGAAGTGCAACATCCAGCCCTTCCTCGCTGCTGTTTACTACATCAGCTTCTAACAACTGTACAGGAGGCAAGCAAGAGAATATTGTACGGATTAGAACAATAAACAGTGCAAAAAAATACAAAACCAATGAAAGTGATAGAGCACATTTGGGCTGAACGTCGTGAAACTGAAACTTCAGTTATCGCAATAGCAAACCAGAACGAAGACAAATATCACAAGGAAGCATTGTGAACTCGATACAAATCAAAACAAAAACAAGTATGTTATCTGAACTTGCGGTAAATACGAACAACAACGTCGCCAATGATCTAAGTTTTGTACAACTGGTTGGGAGATAAATGCGAGTTTTCTCCACCAATCAAAGAACGAACTTAAATTAAACCACTACAGTCCATGGAAACTTTGGACACCCCACTGAAAATTGCCCTTAAAAGAATGGTTAACAGTTCCAGTGAAAGGATAGTCCGTCAAAACTGGATCCTCATAGCTTGACTGAAAAAAGTCAAAACCCTCCCAGACATGTAAATTGTTCAAAATCAAATTTCGAGTCAAATTTCAAGTCAACTTTCGACACTTTCGAGTGGAGAAACTAAGGAGTATTGCACAAGTTATTTTCATACGTTTACTAAACAATATCGAGAAGCAAAATATTTTTTTAACCGATGGATCATGCATTGTCACAAAGGTATAACAAGTCACTGCGCTTTAATGTCCTGTTGTTACTTATAAAATATCCCAAAACTGTGTAGCGACGGACGCAACCACCAAATAAGATAAGAAAAATCTCAAGTACTAAAACGTTTAAGTTATTTACTTACAGATGTTGTAATGTTGACATTTTCCAAAGCAGGGCCAGGCCTGGAACTTTTCTGAAAGTATGTAAAGAATATTGATTAACATGCAAATGTTCTGCTTTTTGTCAAACGCTGGCTTGTTCCGTCAGAAAAGACATGTTTTAACTTAAAACTAGTTACAAAATTTGGGGTGCACTGATAAAAATGGGGCGAACTCTTCATCATGCGGGAGAAGTACACGCAAAAGGGGGCGAATTTACAATGGGGCGGAACTTTCCGATCCTAAAATTGCAGTGAACTTCAGGATTTAACAAGGTTCCACCTGACAATTTCGTAGCATCCACCTGTGCTGTTCATGTACTTCACAGTAGGGAGAGGAAAAGTGAGAGATATTTACCTTGCCCGAGAGGGTGTCTAACTTACGCGAGTCTGTTTAACGAGGATTAACCACCCATCACTTACAACAGTTGTAGATAGCAAGGCCGGAGTTTGTGATAATCAGCCAACATACCTTCAACGACAGCCTTAACCTCATCTGGTCTGGCTCACAACTCAACACATGGCACAACACGACTTGACCAAGGTAGAATGCACTGCGAGGATCAGTATCGGCCGGAATCCTGTTCATAATCACAATTGAATACCAAAGGTTAAGTCTTTAATGCTAAGTAGTCCATGACTGGTGAGACTCTTTTTCTGTAGCATAAGGAAACTAAAGGTATTCCCCCCCCCCTCCTCCCCCCGCTGGATGGGATGCTTGTCCACTGCGCGTAAAACCTCTGGGTAATCACCGAGTAAATCGTTGGCTCTCGGGGTGTCAGGTTTCTTCAAAGTTCAGCAAAGGGCATTTATACTTTTGAAGGGGAGTGGGGGGGGGGGAGGGAAGAGGTAGAGGCACTTAGGCATTAAAGTGTTTAGCTCAGGGACACAACACAATGAGCCAGTCAAAGCTTGAACCCAGACCTTTCGATCTAGGGTCCAGCGCACCAACCAATCAGCAATGTTTAAATGAGTATCGAAAGTCATGAAGGACTGCTTTGATTGGTCCAAAAATTTCGCCCCATCCCCTTTGCCAATCAGCAGGGCTGCACATCTAAAACCAATCACAACTTGCCCGTCCGCGTTTTCCCGCGCTTTAGGCAGTTCCCTTGGTTTTATCTGTGGCCACCATATCAACTCTTATTTCCAATTTTTTTGCCAACGAATCTTTGCATGACGAGGCAACTTCACCTTCCACGCAGTTTTAACTGTTTTTGACTGTTTAAACACACTGTTCTCACCCAAGCTCACGTAGTGGCACCAAGCCCTTGACATTATTGTAAAATAATACAAAGCACCCAAAGTCTTTGATGGCTACAACAAAGCCATGACAACTGACTCCAGGCTGTGCTTGAGAGTACTCAGTGATGATTGGAAGCGATGACTCTATCAGTGTCTTCTTGTGAGTGAGCAGCAAACGGCGTCGATCTGGCCAAACTGAGAGAACCTTTAAATAATTTTAAAAAAATCTTAATACCCCAGCCTTAAAGTGAAATAATTGTGCTAGTTAAAAATACATGTTGAAGACAACAGTCTGTAACTGAGTGCAAGAGACCCCAACGAATCAATCCAATGAAAGAGAATCCTCAGAGTGCCCGAGATACTAATAAAACAATTGCGCGAAAGAGGAATCCTCCGACTGCGCGAGAAACTAAACAAACAATTAATCGAAAGAGAATCCTTACACTGCATTTATCCTAAAGAATTAATCAAAAGAAGAAGAGTCCTCAGAGTGCACAAGATACAAACGAAGCAATGGAAGGAAACAAAATCCGTAAAATGCGAAAGACGCAAACGAAACATTCGATTATAAGAGAATCCTCAGAATGCACAAGATACTGACGAAATTATTGAATCAAAAAGAATGCTCAAAGTGCGCAAGATATTATCATAACATTCGACCGAAAGAGAATCCGTTGAGTGCGCGAGATACCGACGAAACAATTAAAAGAATGACAATCCTAAGAATGCGCGAGATATTGACGAAACAATTGAGAGAAAGATAACACTTAGAGTGCGCGAGATACCAACAAAATATTTACAAGGAAGAGAATCCTCAGAGTGCACACGATACTAACAAAACAAGTGAAAGGAAGAGAATCCTTACAGTGGCCGAGATACTAACGAACCGATTGAATTAAAAAAAAGATGAAAGGGAATACTTATAGTGTGCGATTAACTCACGTAACAATCGATGAAAAAGAACCCTTAAAATGTACGATACACCAACTAACAATCGGTGTGAAAAATCCTAAGAGTGCATGACATCCTAACGTAACAATCTATGAGAGAGAATCCTTCAAGTGCGCGATATACTAACATAATTGTCGATGAGAGAAATCCAAGGAGTGCGCCATATACTAACATAACAATCGATGAGAGAAATCCTAGGAGTGCGCCACATACTAACGGCACATTCCATGAAAGAGAATCCTCAGAGTGCGCAATAAACTAACACAACAATTGATGAAAGAGAATCCTTAGAATGCGCGAGATACTATCGTAAAAATCGAATAAAAGAGAACTTTGCAAAAGTGCGATATACTATTCTAACAATCAATGGAAAAAATGTTAAGAGTGTGTGATATACTAACGTAGCAATCGATCAGAGAGAATCCTATATTACAGTACGCGATACACTAACGTAAAAATCCTCGAAAAAGAATACTGAGTGCGCGACATACTAACGTAACAATCGATGAAAGATAATCTTCATAGTGCGCGATATACTAACGTTACAATCGATGAAAAAGAATCCTGAGAGTACGCGAGAGACTAACGTAAAAAATCGATGAAAGAGAATCTTTAGAGCGCGCGATATACTAACGCTACAATCGATGAAAGAGAATCCTTAGACCGCGCGAGGTACTAACGTAACAATCGATGAAAGATAATCCTCACGGTGTGCGATATACTAACGTTACAATCGTTGAAAGAGAATCCCTATGTTGTGCGCTATATTAACGTTACAATCGATAATTAGAAGCCTTTTGTTGCGCGACATACTAACGTTACAATCGTTGAAAGAGAATCCTTATGTTGCGCGATATACTAACGTTACAATCGATGAAAAAGAATCTTATAGTGCGCGAGATACTAAAGTTAAAATCAATGAAAGAGAATCCTTAGAGTGCGCGATATACTCACGTTACAATCGATAAAAGAGTATCCTTATGTCGCGCGACATACTAACGTTATAATCGTTGAAAAAGAATCCTTACATTGCGCGATATACTAATGTTACAATCGATGAAAGAGAATCCTGAGTGCGCGATATACCAAAGTTACAATCAATGAAAGAGAATCCTTACAGTGCGCGATATACTAAACAATCGATATACTAACGTAACAATCCATGAAAAGGAATCATCTGAGTGCGCGATCTACTAACGTAACAATCGATGAAAGAGAATCCTTATAGTGCGCGAGATACTAACGAACAATCGATAAAAGGTAATCCGTAAAGTTCGCAATTTACCAACGAAACAATCGATATACTAACGTGATATACTAACGCAACAATCGATGAAAGAGAATCCTCAGAATGCGCGATATACTAACGTTACAATCGATGAAAGAGAATCCTTATAGTGCGCGAGATACTAAAGTTACAATCGATAAAAGAGAATCCTTAGAGTGCGCAAGATACTAACGTTACTATTGATGAAAAAATCAAAACAATCGATATACTAACGTAACAATCCATGAAAGAGAATCATCTGAGTGCGCGATCTACTAACGTAATAATTGATGAAAGATATTCTTAACAGTACGCGATATACTAACGCAACAATCGATGAAAGAGAATCATCAGAGTGCGCGATATACTAAAAATAACAATCGATGAAAGAGAATCCTCAGAGTGCGCGATTTACCAACGAAACAATCGATATACTAACGTGATATTCGAACGCAACAATCGATGAAAGAGAATCCTCAGAATGCGCGATATACTAACGTTACAATCGATGGAAGAGAATCCTTATAGCGCGTGAGATACTAAAGTTACAATCGATAAAAGAGAATCCTTAGAGTGCGCAAGATACTAACGTTACTATTGGTGAAAGAGAATCCTAACAGTTCGCGATTTCCTAACGTTACTATCGATGAAAGAGAATCATGAGTGCGCGATATACTCACGTTAAAATCAATGAAAGAGATTCCTTAGAGAGCGCGATATACTAAAGTTACGATCGATAAAAGAGAATCCCCAGAGTGCGCGATCTACCAGCGAAACAATCGATAAAAGAGAATCCTTATAGTGCGCGAGATACTAACGTTACAATCGATGAAGGAGAATCCTCAGAGTGCGCGATATACTACCGTGAAAATCGAATGAAAGTGAATCCTCAAAGTCAGGATCGTTTAGTGTAACCCTGTTCTGCAGTGGAATACAATGGCGTATTTTGCGCAATCTCATGACCTCATTTGGTAAAATGACATTGTAGTAGAATAGTAATTGTGAACTACATATAGAATTACCATAATCTCCTTTATAATCAATGACAGAATTAAAGAATGAAACATTTCCCAATGAAAAGTTTCTTTCACACTTACGTACCCTACATTTCACAGTTTTTCCTTCTTTCAATTTCTTCTCTGGATGTTGAAGATTTATATCTGCTAAATGAAGTGTACGACACAAGCCTTTGATGTGGTCCGTTAAAGAGACAAACATTCCAAACTTCTCTAAACTCGTTATCTTTCCCTACAAAAAAAAAAAAAAGAACGAATATAAATATCATTTTGAAAATATCATTGAAAGGTGAAAGTGAGGAGCTATTATGACCAGTAATTTAACTGACGGCAAAGTTTTTAAGCTGGTATGGTGGTAAGAGGACCGAGTGCAGTATCATTTGGTCTTTTAGTTGTATGGCTGATACACAAGATCACACAGCAGCAAGACACAGTCCAATTTATTAATCACCAGTAAGACTTTTGAAAGAATTTGAAGACACAAAGTCCTTATACCGATTGATCAAAACTATGAAAAATCTTTAAGAAACCAAGGAGCCGCTGGTGAACTAACAAACTAACCAACTAATTTTTTCCCCAAGAAAATGAAACCAAAACGCCAACTAAAAAAAATAATATGCAAACGATGCTTCCTATCCAATTGCTGAGGCATAATGCACACGCTGCCCTCCTACTGCTAAAAGTTTGCTAGAAGTCTTCATGTAAAGAGCAAATAACGACCACTTGAGTGGGGAGAGTGGAAAAGAAAACAACCCCCCGACAAAGAAGGAAAGAAAACCTTCCAAGGGCTGACAGTCATCTTACCTTAACCAGTTCTCCTGGCTTGATATCACGATAACTCAAAAATGGTTGCTCAATGACAGACCTTTGAACAAGAAAGTAAAAAGAAGTATCTATATACATGTACAACTGCATTGCTGTATCTAAGTGTCTTAATCATTTTGAAGATATTGCAAGAACCATTTCACTAACGTTAGGTTTGCACAAATGTGAGTCAAAAGAAAGGAGAAAAAAGGTTACTGAGCTGATTGCAAGAAAAGATAAGATCATCATAGAAAGCATTAACATCTTTTATACAAACATGTACATCAATGTGTTTAAATGAAAAAGATGAAGTGCAGGGCAATTGAATTTGTTAAAAATAGAACAAGAAGAAATTCAAAACAGTTAAACTGAGTGGCATAAATGTCGTTACATATTCAAGCAGTTGCATGAACAAGCAAACAACTCAAGAACTCACCTTTCCATAGTTAGGTTAACCAAGCCATCCAGCGAATTGAAACCAAGGATACGGCACCTGAAAGATAATATACACATTATTAGAAATGATGAGTGAAACCAGGCCAAAACAAAATATTTTTGAGTGCAATTTGATGTTAATAAGCACAAGTAAAATTTTCAAAGACAACAAAGTTCCATGAGCCCATAGGGCAAGTGCAATTTGTTGTCCTTGAAAAATTTACAAGAAAGTGCTTCTTGCACCAAATTTTTTAACCCTTTAACTCCCATGAGTGACCAAGATAGAATTTCTCCTTACAATTTGGGGATAATTAATTGACCAAGTGCTAAATTCTTTGAACTACCATTATAAAAGTTGTATAGTTGACAGTAAGGAGAATTCTAAATTTGATCCAGGACTTAAAGGGTTAACTGATAGTTTTCCTGCTATTGATGTTTACTAAGTAGTTGACTCTTTCAATCCCAGATGTAACTAACATTTAACTTCTCCATTCCATATCCATACATTTAATCCAGCAAACAGGTAATGAGAATACACAAACTCGTCTGGTAGAAGTTGTTGTCTTGATCTAACAACAAATTCTTGTAACTTGTTTAAAAGGAAAAGCATAGCAGCTAAAGGGGAGAATTATTAATCAAATCTTGGTACGTTGACAAAAAGTGTGCAGGTTTCAATTCTAGAAGATTTTGCAAATAGTCCTTGACCATGTATAAAGTTCTCCCAGAAAAAAAGTTCTGTAAATTAAAATGCTACTGAATGGAGAACTCTGGGGAACTACACAAAAGGTAGACGAACATGTACGATTTAAGCTTGATTCTTGTGCACTGAAAGGCCACAAGGTGAAAATGTTACAGTTCCTTCAGTTCAGATATTGTTTTACCACCTTTAGTTAACCTTTTACACCTTTACATCAGTATGCAAATTTTCCATTCTGTTCTCCTTTCATTTCTTAAGGTGCTGACAGGAAGAATTTGTTTAACAATCAAGAGTCTCACTAGTTGATGATCATTTCCTTTACTCTCAACACCTAAATGTTTGATCAATGAGGGATGAACTTGTGTGGAGAAATGGGATGCCAGTCACTCTTGGGTGTTCAAGGGTTAAAGAAAAAAATCCCAAAATTAGGTTGTATCAGAAATTTTGGTAATCTGGAAATGCAACCATTTTTTTCCTCCACAACACAAGTTTTTCCAATAAAAAATAAAACTCCTGAAAAATTATCATGCTACAAGGTGGTTCAATTTACCTATGAGTGCTTCCAACTTTATACTTCTTTCCCAGTTTCTCCACATGCTCATCTGACACTCTAGAAATCTAAAGTCCAAAATGAAACAATGTCAGCAGCACTCTCAGGGAAAACTGGTAATAAACAAAAGGTTCCCCATCTTGAGAGGTCAAAAGCAAAGGTGTAGATCTGACCATGGAATGGTGTCATTTTGATGGGCAAGACACTCTATCCTACATGTAGGATTATAACCAGGGGGATTGGCAGGTCTGCATCTGTCATTTCAAGCATTTTGAGCAAATTTGACCATTGCCTTACACTGTAAACTTAAAAATGCATTTTTTGCATCAACCTGAGCAAATCTAAATAAAGACAAACCTTATAAAATTTCTGAGCCCTGAGTAACAATAATTTTGACCATTGTTAAATGCAGGTTCAAAGGAGTACAGTGTGTGTATCCATGAGGTTGAATCTCTTTCACTAGTTTATAAAACTTACATGAGTAAATCCAAGAATTCCATCGGACAAATTCAAAAATAAACCCATTTTCTGATCAACTCTGAACACAGCGGCATCATCAATGACATCACCAACTGACCAATGACCAAAGGTTGCAGTTTTATGGAGTACAGTTGTCTCTTGAAGGCTAACACCTACTGTCTTCTTATTGGCATTCACATACAGAATGCGACATTTCACCTGTCAATACACCAAAGAAGCAAACAAAAAAAGAAAAGATACATTAGGGAGGAGCTAGGGAGGAACATATAACACACCATGTGTACCAATGTGTACCAATATGTGCCAATGTGTTCCAATATGTACCAATGGGTACCAATGTGTGCCAATGTAAACTGATGTGTTCCAATATGTGCCCATGTGTGCCGATGTGTACCTAGCCTGATAGCAAACTGTACTATTTGCATAAACAGGTGATTTTATTGGATGGCTACACTTCATTTGAAGGTCTTTCCCATGGAGGTTGTGTGAAGTGATTTCTCACTTGAAGTGATAGCCATTTTTTCAAAACTAAGCAATCAAATTCAATCTACATAATAAACAAAAGTTTTGAGCTTGAGTGGAAAAAGAGTTCAGGGCTCAAAAAAAAAAAGCACCCTTCAATGCATATTAACTTGGTTTTATTTTGATGAACCAAAGTCTTCCATTTGTTTTTGAAGGAAGTCCTACAGCATCAAAATCATTAGAAATTTAGCTGATGATCTAATTTGTGATAAAAGTTGTTTTTCTTAAGCCTTTAGTTCTTCATTTACAGTATACCATTAAATTAAAAGAGAATATTTCTTTGTTGCATCCAATTTTCAAATAAGCAGTGTCACCCTAAAGGTGCAAAAATTAAATAAGCCCTAATTCTCTAGTTCCAAGTAAATACAGTTTACATTAAAACAACCTCACTGGTTAAATTTCACTCTACATGTGTATTAAACAAGATGGAGTAATGATTATACTCAAAACACTAAATGTTCATGAAATTTTTAGGGGGCTTTTGGTTACACACCCTGGGTATAAATGTACCCATCCTCCACTAGTTATTTATATATTGAAAAAAAAAGGGGAAAAAACTGGGAACTATATTACATAGTTAGTTATGTGTGACATCATATCTAATAACCTTTTTCTTCAATGGATAGGTTTCTTCCAAATTCTTTCCATCCCCACCACAGTTTGGAAGATGAATTATGTCTGCCGATCCTTCAAATCCTCCCAGAAAATCCAGGATCAGACCACTCTGAGTCACCTGTGTTGTAACAAAAGTCTTTTTTTATAGGGACAATGACATTACTAGCACAAATATATGGAGTTTTCCAGGATAGAGCACTTTTTTATTGAAATGTGTAAAACCAAACTCCAGTCAGAACTAAGATACAGTATATATCACAAGGACTAAGATCTTACCTGAGTTACAGATGCTTTGACAAGCATACCAGGAAGAAGTGCTGAGAACTTCAATTTCATATCCTCTGTAATCTACAACAACAACAAACTTTTATTGCTCACAAAAATGCTATTAATGAAAATAAAACTAGATTTTAATTTAACCAGTTAATTATATTTAGTAATTAGTACTTTATAATTAACAGGTGAAATTAAAAGGAGCATATTTTAATCATTATTGGAGGCTAGAGGCTAAAGGAATCATGACAGCATTCAACAGTATTGGTAATAAACATTTTAAAATGTAATTATGTACCAGGGATCATAAACGTAAGCCTTGCTGCCTACAGCTGGTGCAGTAAAGTTGTTTACAGTGACATGTACATACCATTGCACCTTGAACCTCATCTGTGTCCACGCTGACTGTTATGATTCTCTGCTCTTTTGTCACAGACTTAATTAACAGTGAAAGGGGATTCCCCTCTTCAAATTCTAAAAGGAGCAAAAATTATAAATCATTATAAATTATAAATGACAGAAACACTGTTCTATGAAGAGTCATCTAAAAAAAACATACGCATGGTGTGTGTACTTAAGTATGTGGCTTGTGCATAAGCAAATTACAAAATTCCAATTATTTTCAATTGATACCTCTGTTTAGACTGGTCTTTGGTAGAAAAGCTGTTGTGTCATCAATGCCAAATGATATGAGGTAGCCATGGTCTTCAACACTTTTTACAAACCCTGAAAGGACCTACAATTTTTAAAAATGAGATTAATGTTTGCAACTGATTAGCACAATTTAGCCACTTTAAATGATCTGTAAGGAGGCACTTGATGTGTTAATCAATCAGAACAAACCAGTGAATGACATATTGGTCAGTTTTCACTTAGCTAAAAGAAATATTCACAAAGATGTTAATCACCCAACATACATGATCAATAAATAGCAATCATTTATGTGGTACATGTACAGTAGGTAGCTACATGTACAATGAGTGGCAAAAGTCTTAGTGCACAGTACCATAATCTGAATCTTTTCTACATCTTTCATTCATCTCCCTCTTCTCCTTCATTTCAGTTGCCTAGTGTTTGCATTAATGCTCACTAATTTCAGGCAACATTGCTTGGGGGGAGGGAGGGAGAAAAGGGAGATTTAAATTAACTTATTTGAGATTAATTACGTTATCTATGTTTATTATGCTGAGTGGAAGGTTATCAACCACCCAGTTAGGGGAGGTATACCAACTTCCTCTGCCACTCATGATATATACACAATGTACACATAATTGGAACATGTAGAGCACTGGTCCTGTACATTGTAGTTGGCCATTCACCCAACTTAACCACGGGTTCCAACCCCTTCTGGTCTCCCTTCTTAGAGAACATATTTGGATGAATATGCTGCAATTCTTATCTGTATTGACTTTTTAATGATGAAAAAAGATAAAAGTACGCATGAAGGGTAAACATCTCTTATAATCCAATGATTATCAATTCTACATGTACTAACCATCCCTTGCTTTAAAGATAACTTGGTGATGCCACTATTAAGCTCTTTAGGATCCACAGATAATTTGATTTTCTTTTTTCCAGGTTTTGGGCCTTCAGTTTCCAAGACTGAACACTGCACCAGAGACCCTACTGTAAAGAATTTTGCAAGCCCTGGGAAACTTGGTGTGTCCTGTGATAAAAAAGATAGAGTTTTCCTGTACATGATATCTTGCACTTACAAAACAGCAAACAAATGATGTCTTTTCTAGTCTAGACACACTATAAAATTAAAAAGTCCCTGGAAAAAATAAGCTTAAAGAAATTCAATGTGATGTTTTTCATGATAAAATTTACTCACATGTAGTCAGTTTTATTCACAAAACACAGCATTTCACAATTCAAAAATTCAACTTTCTATTCTCACACATCATATTGTGAATGTCGCCTCCACAACACAACATTGCCTGTTAGCAAGGGCCAAGTACAAATTTTTATCATGATGTGTGCCTGGGACATCTGTGATCTTCAAGAATCTGACTAGTGCCCAATAATTTCATTATTCCCTTCACTCCTGAGATCTCATTCAATTCTCCTTACTGACTGTCATACACTCTGTATGACAGAGTTTCAAGAATTAAGTATTAGATCACTTAACAATCCCAAATTGATATTTTTCTCTATTTTCATCACTTGTCTGTTTGATATTGAAGAAATTTAAAATGGTTTCCGTGTTTACATAGCCTGATATAAACACACGGGAGGTTGGGAGAACACGAGATGAGCATAGGAAACCATGACACGAAGCGGAGTGGTTTCCAGTTTATCAAGTGTTCTCCCAACCTCCTGCGTGTTTACATCAGGCTATGTAAACACGGAAACCAATTTACATTTCTTTTATAAAATAACTAATAAAAGAGGAACAAAAACCATGTTTACATACACTCATGTAAAATGGTTTTATGGCCAATCAGAGCACGCTTACTATTTGAATTATTTTATAATGTGTTGTTATTGCAAGGAGGAAATGTGTTGGTCCCTCATGGAAGCTTAAGAGTTAATTTACTAATTTTAAGGGGGGGAGGGAGTCCTGAGTTCAACATCAAAACTAAAACAACCCTTGATAATATATTTTTGAATGTTGGTGCCTTGCAATTTAAAGTACTCTCTAACCTCTGTGTTTCCACTCTCATCAACCTCTAAGATGTTCTTTAATCTCTCAGTGATCTTCTCATTTATGTTTGTAATATGAACAAATCCACCCAAACCATTTGGCAGACTTATAGCCATGTCATATTCATTTACTTCGCGGATAGCTCCCAGAACTTTCATTCCCACATAGAGTTTCTGTAAGAAATTTAGAGAGCAAAAGTATTGAGCATGTACTAAGCTTGTCAAGAGTTTTAGGTATCTTTAATTAACCCTTTAACTCCCAAGATCTGATTGTTAATTCTCCCCTCTAGTTTCTACACATTTCCTTGTAAATTGGTTATGAGAATTTGGTGTTCAGTCAAGGTAACATCTTGTACCTGATGAATTTTAGTATTCTCACCACCTGTTTGCTAAATAGTGTATGGATATTATAAGGAGAAGTTACATGTTAATCACATCAGGGAGTTAAGGGGTTAAAAGTTCTGTGATAGAAATAGGCCCTTCACACCACAGTCTTAAGGGCAAAGTGCAGACCATCTCAAATGTATCAAAGCTCCCTAGAATTCCTCATATCCCATTGGTGAAACTGCTGCATTGACATGCGTTTTAACCCTGACTAAATCACACTTAGCCCCGTATATGCTTAACATCAAAATGGTTGATAAATACATTGATAAAAAGTATAAAAAGGTCACAAGACACAACTGTACCTTGAAAGTCAGAGTTTCCACAAACTTTGATTTAGACTTCTCTATAAATTCAGGCTTGCTATCATCCACTTCAGACTTCTTGGGTTTCTTACTTTTCTTTCCACTTTTTGGGAGCAATTCTGGATCTACTGATGACTTCTACAAGTAACAAGGTCAAGCATTCAAGGTCAAGGGTTATGACTACATGTATTCTCAATTTTAAAAGCCTTTAAGCTGATAATACTTGTAGTTAGATTTAAAGCAAAAATCTAAATCTTGAATTATTTTCATTGAAAATTTCTCTAATGGAAAACAGATTAATGAATTTGTCATATTTGATAATCCAAGTTGTTCCATTACCCCAAAAAGAACATCCTTCTCAGCCTCATTCTTGATTTTCCTCACTTCAAGTGGACTTAAGGCAGAAGCACCACCACGGGGAAAGTCAACTTCCTCAGCATTTCTTTTGTCAAAAAAGCTATTGAATAAAAAAAGTGATGAGCTAAGATAATAATGCTAATATCAATAATAGCTGGGATAACAACAACAACAACAACAACAATAATAATAACAGCAATAGCAAACATGAAATTTTACAATAATAACAAATGAAAGTGAAAAAAAGAATAGATATTACACTGAAATAATCCAATAGGCCCCCTTCCTTCCTTTTTCCCCTACATAACATTAAATTTCAAAGTATTCATTCAAGCTGGGCAACAGGTCAGTAGAAAACGCATCCCCCACCTTAGGACTCTCATCTGGACAAATTCTAGAGAGCCACTTCCTGTCTACAAGCCTTACTTAGTAGTCATAAGACTACCCCTGACTTATGTGAGCAAATCAAGTACAAGTATATTTGCAGTTACAAGCCACAGCATTTTTAGCATGAAGTTCTAAAAAGTTGTTCTGCAGTTGTTGCACAAATAAAAGAGATTGCTACAATACATGCATGCAAACAAAGGTAACAACTGTTTCACTTAGCGTTATGCCTTGTGAAAATCGTTAACAGACATGCACATGCAATCACATCCCTTGATGTTAACATTCGGGAAATGAGAGTCAACAGTTTGGAATCTTTCTTGCTCACGACATCTAACGATGATCACACTCGTGCATGTATGAATCATAAGGAAGCATACTTAATTGAGGGCTGATTTCCAAGTAACATTCACGACTTTCTGAGAGATTGCTTTCATCGACGAATCTTCGGTAATCACTGAACTTCACTTAGGCTAAAAATTGTTGACTAAAAGATTTCGATTTCTAACTTAAAAGCTCCAGTCGCTTTCCGAAAAAACACGTGGGTTACCAAAACAAGCTCACATGCACTTATGCAAAGGCTTAGGTTTCAACTGTGTTAAGGCAGGTAGATCGCTACTCACAGACCCAAAATAATATTATGGTTCTTAACTTTTTAAGAAAATCAAACTGTGCTTTTGTCTTTACTAACCTTGGTGTTTCAGGTTTTTTCGAAGCGCGTTTTTCACGACCTATCTTGGTCGCCATTTTGCTTTTTCAAAATGTAGTACCAGTCTACTTCGGTTTCCTGAGAGGACTCTAGGCATGCAATGCATGCACGCGGACCTTAGGGGATATGTAGAAAGTATTATTGAGAATATAAGGTGCAATTCCGTCTTGAAGCCTCTCGCGCTGTCGCCGCTAAGGCGCGCACATAAATGGCTAAAATTGCGAATGTTTTTAAAGATTTATTTTAGGGGATATTTAAGTATTTTTGAGAATATAAGGTGCAATTCCGTCTTAAGCCTCTCGCGCTGTCGCCGCTAAGGCGCGCACATAATTGACTAAAATTGCGAATGTTTTTAAAGATGTATTTTCAAAGTCGTTCGCTTCCGATTTTTAAATGTGTCGGTCAGTAAGGAAATAAAACGGAGTTCTCATGAAATAAAAACATCATACCACGAAAAGAGATTGGACGATTTTTATTCACGAGTTGCGATGCATCAAAAAACTCAATCGTTCTCTGCGCTCACACGTTCGTTTTTCTATGCATCGCTACTCGTGAATAAAAATCGCTCGTGTGCACCTTCCATGAAATAATCTGTATGTTTCCCAAAAAATTGAACAGGAAAATTTGACAGTTAATCAAGTTCTCGTTCCAATTTTTTTTCAAAAGCAGGTGATAAAGACTTTCCTCAGACAAGAATTGTTTATGTCTACGTTCAGGCTAAGTAAACAAATGAGCAAAGGAACGCGCTCATCCACGCTTTTCCTGTACCCATGCTATTACGGAGAAAATCATCAAAAACTTTTTTTAAAGTACTTTTTTATTTGAAAAATCCAGAAGAAATTTCAATGATTTGGTATACCAAAAAAAATTATCAGTCATCACAAGGTATACTTTTACAATTCCAGGTGTTCAGCTGGATCCTACTCACATTTCATTTTTCATTATTCATATCTCCCCTAATACCCATCCCTCCAATGAGTTAGTCTATATTCTATCTCACATCATTCTTAATCAAATTTTTAAGGTAGTACATAACTGTTCACTATATATGCACAGTCCAAATGACAATTTCAATCTGATGTTTCTCAAAAGTTTCTCTATCAGTGTTGATGAATGTTTATGCAGATCCTTCTCACACAGTGGATGCAATGCTTCCCTGCTTTCAAGAGCATTTCAAAGTGCACTTTGTCCCTTTGCAAGTAAAGTTTTCTGTTACTAGCCATATGTTCCAATCTGTCTGCTACAAACAGCAGGGTTGATACAAGTCTCTTCAGCGTATTGTGTCCCCTTTTTGTTTTGGAAACTGCCATTAAAATTGAGACATTCTCTACCACAAAATGAGCTAAAAACTTGAAATCGGCTGACAGTTTGACATACTTAGGGAGATGATGAGAGTTGTAAAGGCTCAGCAACAAACTAACACTTGATGGTGTTGATCTTTTAACATGAAGACAATGGTTATGAAAAGCTTCTTGAGCATGCAACGCATCTTCAAGTTTCTTAACAGCACTGTACTTCTTGTACAACATGGGACCAGCTTTAGCCATGCGGTGCACAATGGCAACCCGCAAATTGGCATTAAATCGTGTTGATCCAATATCATTTACTAACTCTACCTCCTCCTCTTCTTTAAACTTTTGGTTGCAGTCTGCACTCCAGTGATCATCATTCCAGGGCCCAAGACAGGTCCAACAAAATTCTCCCCTGCACATGCCACAAACCATATGAGGACATCCTTGATTCTTTTCAATGGGATAGCTGCAGTGAGGGCACCTCTTTATGCTCACAGAAGTTATTCCACCAGTTTTTGTTTTGAAAATTTTTTCATATGTTTCAGTCTGCGAGCGAAAAAATTTAGCCTCATAGCATGATGCTGGCCAGTGGGGCTCCTCTTGACAAGAAAAACACCAGTCGTGCCCACAAGGACAATGGACAGGCAATGAAGCAATCTTGTCCCCTATGTCTTTAGAGCCTTTGAGTGAAGCTGCCCTGACAACCAGGTTACACTTGTTCTCAGGACACCACTTCCACTTAGAACTCATCTCCACAGCTTTTTCTTGTCTCATGGCTATCAATTTATGGAACTTGTTGGGTTGAAGACCCATAAGTGTGACATCATCAACAATGGTATTGCAGTCATATGCTGGGCATTTGATGAATACTTTTCCTTGTTGTAACTGTGCAGAGAGATAAGCCTTCCAGCATTCATTGCAGAACCAGTGAAGACAGGACTTCAGAGCAGTGCAAGGAAAAGCCAAAGTCCTTGTAACTAAAAGTAATGAATGCCAGCAGTTAGATAAGAGAAGAAAACTTACTTACAGGAGCCTACTTGTGTTTACATAATTCTATTTTGTAAATGTACCTAATAGTTCCAAAAACTATTTTTACAAGTCTTGCTAATGATAAAATACACTGTAAGTGGCTTTTAACTACAAATTATACCATAAAAACTCATGAACAGTCTTACAATGTAATATTAGTACATGTACCTTCATTTATAATGAATACAGCTAGGATAATAAATGAACTCTTTCTGAATTACAAATAATCAAGTATCATGTAGGAAATTTGGTTACAATGTTACAATACCACAACAAACAATATTTCTCCCTTAAGAAGTAAAGTAATATATGAAGCAGAACATGCTATTTTCTATCTCATAATACTTTTTTGTGTCAGGGTTCTATTGCAGTATTCCACAAATTGGTTATACATCTGTTGGACTAAAAAATGTTTGTACAACTTAAGAACCAAAATATTTGTGGCTAAATTTGAACAACTTATTTCAGAAGTCTAGGGTTAAATTTGAACACAAGAAAATAGCATGAAAATCTCAAGCCTGGATAGTAGTACAAGAAATGACCCTGCCGCATTTATGATGGATTTCCTTGTCTATTTGTAAGTACAAGTACCCATTTAGACTCCAAGCTGGGCCCATTTCTTGTACCTCCCTGTAACTTGACAGACCCATAAGTAGTTCTTTTTTCATTCAAGATGTGGGTTTAAAAACTTTTGAATGGTATACAATAAAACTATTTGCTAAACAAAAAATGGAGTGGTTAGGGTGCCAAAACCTGCTTCTCTATTTCTTAATATTTGATTCATTTGTAAAATATGGCTATTAAGTTATTGGGGTTTTTGAGTGGAACCTGGACAGAGAGGCAAATTATATGTTTTTTTTTTTAGACCAAAACAGAGTACCTTGGGTTAAGGTTAAAACTTGATTCTAGTGTACTAAACATAAAACCTGAGCATCTCTTATTACAAGTTGACAGGATTAGATAAAAAGAATTATTACTTACCATCACAAGTGTCACAATAAAACTCACAGCAACAGACTTCACATACAACAGTCTCAGGTATAATGGTAGTTTTAGCTCCTCCATCTGCAGCCACAACTGATGGGGCAGGGCAAAGTGCAACAGTTCTTAGAATATCAGGTAAAGCCAGACTCACAGTGGATGCCTTGTGGGAACATTTATTGATATCGTACAACAAATCAAAGGGCATGACTGCTACTCTGTTGAGCTGGCTGTTGCTTGTGTTTGGGCTGCAACCAAGTGAACATTTATCAGCAGGTAGGGGTTTTTCCATAACTTTGCTTTCATGCTCCAAAATACCAAAGAAATTCTCCAAGAATTCCTTGCAGTGCTGCGATTGTTGGGAAGGCAGGGCATCACTCACAACAGAAATACTAACTCTTTCAGCTCTCTCCTCTGTAGTCTTAATACTATAAGGCTGGCATGTGAAGACAAACTTTGTGGACAGATCTGAGAGGCCAATACTGAATCGCCGAGGTATACTTTCACCCTCTATGTACATCTCTCCAAATTGCACCTGCAATGCATGCATGTCAAGTTTGCCACTGATGATGTCAACATTTACAGAAAATGACCTATTCTGGGGAACACTCTCAGTTGCTACTGGCACACTTGGATGAGCAATTGTAGTGCCAATCTCTGGGTCGTCATGGATACCACCCCAAATGTTAACACGGTCAACATGCACTGCAGAACCTTTTCCATGGGACTTGACTAACTGAGAAGAAGCTGGGTTAACAGCCGTTAATTCTCTCTCCTTGAGGACACTTGTCTTTCCATTTTTCTTGCCGATCTTACGGTCACTTTTTGCAGCAGTTACAGCTAAAACTTCAGAAATGTATTTTCCTACATCAAAGTCACATTTATTCAATAGTGAAAAGTTCTCTTGGTTATCTGAGCTTGAAACAAGCTCGTCCTTACCGAGATCAGTCTCTGGGCTGAAATCAAGAATTCTTTCTTGCAAAGTTTGGTGGGCAGTCTTGTTCAAATCGTACTTACTAAACTCTCCCCATAAACGTGTTTTGTTCTTCACCCCTTTTGTTTTACATCGAGCCTTGTTCTCCGCTCTGAATTCCCTCCAGTCGCGATCGTGCTGTAGGTAGCTTGGCCAACATGAAGAAGGTTCCGTTTGATTCACCTCGTAAACGATTTCAGTTTTGCTGGAATCGTTCGATTTACCCCGTAAATCGCCGACATGGGCGAACTTTCTTCGTTTCGGTTTCCTCGCCTCTTCCCCTTCTAAAACCACCCGACAATCGCCTCGCCTGAGCCTTGGAGAAGAACAGTACCACGAAGACCCCTGGACTGATAGTCTTTCTACAAGGATAACCTTGTAATCGTTTTCAGCGTCGAAATCTTCGGGTATTTTATCTCTCAAAACCATTGATACGAGCCATCTTTTACGTTTTCCAAGAGAATACAACACTCTGTCGTCAAGATATCCCCTGCTACCGCCAAAGCGCCACTGGTGATCATCACGGCTTTCCTTCACCACATTGTCTTCATCGAGGCCGTCTCCTATTTGAAACTTTTTTAGACAACCTCTTACTTGTTCATCAGTGAAGTGGATGTTTTGGTTTCTAACAGTTTTGATAAGGAATCCGCAGTCAGCTTTACCAGGACTCGTTGAAGTCTTTCGGAGGGTTCGGCCGGTGTGAATGCCGAACTTGCCATTTTCCTTCCAAACCATGTCAAATGGGACCTCTCTGGTGGCAAACTGTCCTCAACCACTGTTACATCCACAAATTTATAGTCCTCGAAAGATTCCCCAGTCAGCGAAATCTTGCAGTTATTTTTGTACCCATCCAAAATAATGACTTATTTAGATTCTACGTCACTACTCGAGAAGCTTGTCATTGGACTATCTGCCCACACGATCCGGGTCTCCGCTGAAAACGGTAAACAAACCGAAAAGAAACTGAGAAATATTCAACGAAATAAGCCTCTATTTGCATGCAAAAGAGATACAGACTATTATCGTACTGTTTCACGACTTGGTAATTGATTATTTGGGATCAACGATTGATTTGAAACCTCTTCAACCCTGTAACTCCCAGACGTGATTTACATGTAACTTCTCCCTACAATATTCATAAATCATCCAGCAAACAGGTAATGAGAAAACTTAAATTTACCTAGTAGAAGTTGCAATCTTATTCTAACATCAAAATTCTCGTTACTAATTTACAAGAGTATTTGTAGCTCTGGAGGTGAGAATTAACAATCACATCTTGGGAGTTCTGGGTACACTTGAACAATGAAACTTGGACAGCGCGAAGTACATCAAACTGAAGATTTCCTAACCAGACAAATGATGAATAAATATTGTAATTTCTTCTGGTTTTTTTCTTTTCTTTCAAAGTTACAATAATTCTTTTTAGGTTTAAATCGATTTCACAAGACTGTATCAGAGCGGCCAAAGAAGAACCCTTTATCTAGGGATATGGGCTTCCATCCACCTCGACGGGTTCCTGCTGGTCTTCAGGGCATGTCCTGTAAACGTTTTCCAACTGATCAGGTTATTATAATTTTATGATAATATATTAGATTCATATAGCGCTAAAATTATGAATACAATACGAAGTTTACAATATATGTAACTTGGTCACTGAGAGACGATATTTGTTCTGTGAATGATACTATTGTCAACTTCTGAAATATTTCATAAGATTTATGTCTGAACAAGATTGTTCCCAATTTCATTGATGATTAGGTTCAGTTAAGAAGCATAGCTTTATCGTACTGAGAGCCATTTTCTTCAGAATCTTTTGTTTATGAGGTCACCTGCCGTAGCAAACGCATCCTGACCTCATGTTTAAAGATGAATGGAAATACAACTTGATTAACATACGGAATCGTAGCAAAACAACATAGCGTTCTAATTAGGTGCTTTCGTATTAGACGAAACTGTAAACCTATTTATACCGTGATTCAAGACTGCTTAAAGCTTAGAAAACGAAGCACTTCTTAGGAGAAATAGAAACGGCGGGAAAGAAGATCTTAACGATATTTACGCTTACTAATTGCTTACCGATTGTGGACATCGCTTAATATGTTGTTGTACAACTGAAACTTGCTTACTACTCCAGGTAAGTTAAATTTAGACCTTATAAGTGATAAAATATTTAAAAAATATATCTCTATCATTCTGATGGACATATTTACGAGTTTCAAACTACGTTTTATTATCAACTTTGAAGCTATGAGTCGACAGACTTGATACTGTTCAGGGATATTTTCGTCAGCGATTTGAAAGTGAAAATGTCAGGTATTCATACAACACACATTATACACGCGGTACTAGATGTAGGTAATTCCTACGTCTAGCCACGAGGACATTTTTTTTTTATGATTTTAGCTGTTACTGATGCAATAATACAGAATATGATAGGAAAATCTGCAAATCAAGTCAGCTTTAGTATGATCGGCTTCGGAGCAGTTAAAAACATAATAACACGTGACTTGATTTTCGATTTCGTTGCAGTTCAAGCAGACGAATTGCGTAAATATCAAAAAGAAAGGAACAAGCAAAGGATAAGGAACCTATCAGTTTAATTGACGATGCTGGATGCGTGCGATTATTTCGTCTAAAACTCTCTGATTTATCACAGCGTTACATAAGAGCGCTTGAGACAATATGCTTCAACAACAAGCCAGCTTCGATGATTCGTACGACTATTTATTTAAAATCGTTTTAATCGGCGATTCTGGAGTAGGGAAATCGAACTTGTTATCCCGTTACACCAAGAATGAATTTCATCTCGGTTCAAAGGCAACTATCGGCGTAGAACTGGCTCAAAAGACCATTGAAGTGGAAGAAAAGAACATTCGCGCACAGATTTGGGACACTGCAGGCAAGTTGAACATATCATTATATTAATTATGACAGAAATAACCTGAAATTTCTTTTGTCTTTTTGAACAAAGGCGTCGTACTCGAGGTCTTTCAAAAAGACAAAAAGGTACAAATATAGGTATTTAAGTTATCTCAGGTTCCTAGTTCAAAAAAAGACATACCTTTGTTTATGTAAGTTATTAGTTAAGGCATAAAATATATTGATCTAATTACCCTTATCAAAGCTGCACAATTCATGAGCCAGGCTAAAAAAAAAACCCTTATTTTTCTTTAGCAAATAGCTGTACAAAAATCATCTTTGTCACGAAAATTAAACTTTACCTAAGCCAAACAAAAAGGTTGACAAAATTTTATTCTCGTATCAACGGCTACACAATCCAAGTTTAATCTCCTTATTTTTCTCATGTAACAGACTCAGTATTGAAAGAGACGCATTTAACCTCTTTTGACCACCGATTGCACACTATATACCATGAATTGTTTACGCTTTGATTCCCAAGAGTGACTAGCATCTAATTTCTCCCTACGGTGGCACAGCTGAATCAGACATTAAGGTCACGAGAATTAAGGAAAAGATCACCCACTAAAGAAGCTTTTAATTCTTAAACAACTTCTCCTTGTCAGCGCCTTAGAAATGTATAAAAAACAGTATGGAGAATATGCATACTTATGTTAGGGTGTAAAGTGTTATAGCAAGTAGCTCGATATTAGCTGATACTGAATAAGTTAAGCCTTACTTCCTGTTTACAATATCCCCCTTCATTTGAAATTGTTTCTGTATCGATCAGCCGTAACCTTTTGCATACTGTCAATTATTTTGCTGAAGTTTACTGATCCGAAAATAGAAGAAGATTTTCGAAAAAATGGCTTAACTGTCACAGCCAATGGAAATTGAACAAAGCAAACTTTCGAATACAAAGTAACTGATCAAATTGCGCGGAAAGAAAAGACCCAAAATACATTATGTTCTTATTCTTATGTTAAGAATATCGGCTATGTGTTCAGACGAGTAAATTAGGAGATTTCAAAAGGATTTTATTAAGTGGCAATTAACCACGTGAGGAACAATTTTGGACGGAAATCATACCTGCGAGATCAATTACAAACTCACGCTCTTTTGACTATAAAATAACGCTTTAAATTTCAGACCGAATTAATCTCAACACAGTTCAATTACCACAAATGATTATAAATCAAAACGTAGGGCTAAATCAGCAGTTATATTAATATGTTGATATGTTTTCTGCTGCTTTAGTATTGGTGGAATGATACATCTAGTACCGTGTAACATAAGGATTTTTGTTTACCTATTTTCATGGATTGGCGATTTTTTGTGTTCTACGGAGCAAACGTTATATTTTGTTACGTTCAAGAAGCACTATATAAACAACGAAAAAGAGAAAATTTAAACTTAACCATTCCTAATATTTTCAATTTTTTCGAGTTATACTGAAGAGGAATACCGGATAGATGGATATTCCGCGTGAGTCTCAATACGAGGAATGCAAACTGCCCGAAGGTAGTAATTTCATGGCATTTTACATGGGCGAAAAGATATCGCGTTTTAGCGGAAGTTATCTATAGAATTATCCGCAAAGTCTGCATAGACAGGAACCCGCAAAGTTATCATGCAGCAGAGATTCGCTCTGATAACGGTCGCCCTTTAATAGCCTATGGTATTTCTTGAACTGAGTCGGGAGTGCAATATGGTTTGAATTCATATGTGTGATTATAATTCGAACTAATGCGAAGCGCGCACGTTCGCTCTCAGACCATAATTGCAAGACACGAGGTTCCATCCACCAACCAGTTGAATCCATTTGGAAATAGCACTATTAAATCAGCTAAAGAAGAGATCGCTAGGAAAATTTTTAAAATAATAGTAGCTGCAAAATAGAAAGCCTATAAAATCTAATTAAAGCAAAGGCATTTTCGGGAATCAAAATGTTACCATTTTCAGGTGTTGTAAATTTGCTGTCAGATTTTTCTCAGTGAAATCTGCCTATTCTAAATTTCTTTTGGAAAGTGATTCATTTTTGATCATAAACATGTTAACGCAGAATGAAGCCATTAGATTTCAAAGTAAACGTGCGAAAACTTCTTCAAGCGCTAGGGACCAAATTGCGTTTCAATCTTGCGCGTGGTTGGTTTAAATGTTGACGCGAGTTGTTTTGACCAATCACAGTACGAAGCAAAGCAAATGCAATGCAATCCTGGATAATATTCGACACTCAATTAAAAATTGCTTCAGTTCAAAATGCTGCTTAACCACGACTTTTACTCGTTTCAGGCCAAGAGCGATACCGAGCCATTACAAGTGCTTACTACCGCGGAGCCATGGGCGCTATTCTGGTTTATGATATCGCCAAGGTAACGTCATTCCAGAACCTCGACAAATGGATCACAGAATTGAAAGAACACGCCGAGCCAGACTTGTCAGTCATCATAATCGGCAACAAATCCGACCTGAAACATCTACGAATGGTAGAAACGAAACGAGGCCACCAATACGCAATCGATCAAGACATGCTCTTCATGGAAACCTCCGCACTAGATTCGACAAACGTTAATGAAGCGTTCGAGGAGCTTGTAAAGCATGTATACGACGGGGTAAAGAAGAAAGAAAAAGAGAGAACGTCTTCAAGAACTGTCCTCCCTCTTCCACCGGATCAGTTAGATTTTGTTCAGAATGGAAAAAAAGGAACGGTTAATGTAGGAAAGACTGCTACGGAGAGTCAGATAGCTAAAAAGAGGAACAATAAGCTTCCATGTTGTTCTACATAGAGCAATGAATCGGTGATATAAGTTTCGCCTTTGCTGAAATTTAGCAATATATCATAGAACCAAAAGTGGTTGAAAAAAATATCTTCAAGGAGCCATATCACATACACAAGAGAAACGCTGTGTTAGTTTGAAAAGTTCTTTGGCGAAATCTGGGTCAAGTCGGGAAAACATTTGAAGGCAAACTCGTCTTGAGAATGAGGCTGATGGGTAACTTGGATGTTTATTTAAAGAAAGCAAAACTGATGGCTGAAAATGAAGAAGGTTAAGACGGAATAAAAATAACCAGCGAGTAAATTCAGATTAAATATTTTTATAATGCACATATTCGCTTTAAAAGCGATATTCCATATATTCTGATATAAATTATAGCAGTGCAGTTTTACACCACAAGGTCGCAACTGAACACTGACTAGAAAGTCTAAGACTCCACCAGGAGTGGAGGAGAGCACAACACTCTATATTTACCTCAGTACAATTGGCAGACGGTTATAGATACGCATGCGCTCTATTTGGACAAGGAGTACATTAACTCTTCTTATCACGAGGAACTTGTAAAGCTCGGACGTTTCCAAGACGTGAACGTCAGTTGAAGAGTCATTGTTTTTCATCGTGATTTCAACAGACTTTCAGTCGAGCATTATAGTTTAAAACGCTGAAACAAGGGTTTTTCGATTGTTCTTCAAGCAATTACATTGGTTCCTCGGCCGTTTGTTTCTTGACAATGTCTGTGTTTAATTCTCTTCTATATTTATGATGGAAGCGGTAGGATTTCTGTGTCACATAAAGGAAAAATAAATGAAACAAAAGTCAGTTGCTCCAGAAACTATTATATTAGTTGCGCATTTTCAGGATTTATTCCCGCAGGAACTTTAACTGAATAAAAGAAAGCTCAAAATCAACTCACTGCAGCCGAGCGGAAAAGAAATACTCTTACGCAAGAGAGGGGGGGGAGAAGTAGGGTCTAAATGATGCAACGACTTGATACCAATGAGAGAAAAACAACATCTGCCTTTGCCATTAACCCTGTCTACTAAAGAGTAAATAAAAGGCTATGCCATAATCAGAATGACATGTTAAGGAAGCGGTAAGTTATGATCTTTTTAGTCCTTCAGTTTTTAACAACACAGAGAATTGCATTGAATTGAAATAATTGTTTGTTAGAGAGAAGACAAAAAAGAGAGACGAATAAAACAAAAGGAAAAACGCGTGTTGTTAAATATGTAGGATGTTAACTCGGATCGCTAAGGACAAATCTTGTAAAATTCAGGCGAAGATATTTTTCAAAAGGACAAGCTATAAAACCCAATTCCTAAAAGGGGCATTGGAGCTCAAAATGCACTACGATAACTACTTTATCGAATGGAAGAGATTACAACCAGGGAACGGTTATTATTTAACGTCGGGGGGGGGGGGGAATTGAAGGATCTTTGTAGACCCTTCCCCCCCCCAACTAGGTCCTGTGGAAATCTAATGATCCCCCTCATTGGCAGTGAATGGAACAAAAGAAACGCTCATTTTTCGATAGTCCCGTCTTTATATTCTGTAAATGAAGACTGATCCCCTTTCCCTTTCGTTCCCCTAAAAACCATAAACCATATGACCCCCCCTATAATCCTAATGTATCCTTTAATTCCCCCCCCCCCCCCCAAAGGCGATGAATAATGACCGGCACCTGAGTTTCTCAGTGTGCAGACTGAGCAGATTACTAATGACGGCGGCTGTCGTGTTAACACGATCAGTCGAAATATATTGAAAAACTAAACCATTCACGTCAATTCTCCATCATTTCAAGATAAGCCATATTTGCCGATTGTGCGCTGAGCACTTACCGTTGATTGCAGCTGTCACTGACCGTTCAATTTAACCGAAGATAATTTTCATCGTCCATTACCCAGCTGCAGATGCAAGTAGTGCTTCATAGTTTCTAATTCTCCGGCCGTTCTGACTGAATATCCTTATCAAGGTCAGTTTTGTTCTCCTTTTTCTGTTTCATAACTCTGCTATTCGAAAAACTACAAATGCATGGCATGTTATATCTATTTTTTTAATTCTTCTTCACTGAGCATTAGAGTCAGCCAATCATTATAGTCATCTTTTACTTGATTTATTTCATCTTTAGCCGTTTGATAATCGAATCAATCTATTGCACTTTTCTTTTCGCTATAATTAGGGTCCGATCTCATGCCTCGAATAAAAAATATCCAAAGTCTGTTTCCAAGCTGATTTTGTTTACAGCTTAACGGTCTCATCGCGTTCATTAAGTATGTGGGTTTTTAAATTTTCATTCAGACCTTTTGCAGTTTGATTCTTTCAAATTTGGATGTTTGTTGCTTAACGTCAATCAAAAATTTAACAATGTGCCAGATAATAAGAGGAACTGAATGATACTCACACTTCTGAATTCCAGTTTTCTTCTTTTATTTTCGACATCTTATATGGTTAATTTGTTCCTTTGGATTTCTCCATGTTGACATGATTGAGGTATTCAACGACAATTGGTGAATTCGAGTAGTTTTTAGAAAATAAACCACGCCGCATTAAAAGAGGGTCTCAGTGGGGTTTAACCGTTTTCTATTCTTAACCGTTAGCCATAAAACGGTCCGAAAACTAAACTTTCAGCCGTAAGAAGCTCAAAAAATTTAAACGTTAGTTGTAAACGCCACTATACCCCGTCGAGACCCTCTTAAAACGGTTGGATGAAAGTTTGCATTTGCATTTCGAAATTATCACGAACTTTGAGAACAGAAATATCCTCCTATTTGAAAAAGATGAAACTTAACGTGCACGAAAGAAAACGCACACGCCCCTTTTCAATTCCTCAGACAACTTTTTTTTTTTTTATCTAAATGCAAATAAAAAGCAGGGAAAGTATATATATCAGAAAAGTCACTCGATTAGCCTTTTTGGTGTGTTCACTTGGGAAGCTGAGTGAGGGACAACTGTACCATTTAGCGAATCGCTGTTGTAAGTTATTTTTAAAACCGTTAACATCAATATTGCAACGTTGTTGACAAAGGGCCGACTGCTCGAAACGGGCGTCAGCTTTAGAAACCCTTTACGTTGGCCAATTACAATTATCAACTCAGTTGATAAAGCCAAATCATCTCGTAATATTCTTACCAACGCAGCACCACAGGTCCTTTTTGAAACTTACCATAGTGTTATTCATTGGTTGTTTACTAAATTGATATGTTCAAATAGTTTTGCGAACGTTTTACTCATTACGTCTTGCCAGGCGAGCCGGAAATGTTAGTAATAGACTTTTTAAAATTTTTTCCGAAATATTGCTTTTGATTGCATCTGTCACGCTGAACGTATTTTGCCACAAGGTGATAGCCTAAATGAAAGGGTTCGGACGCTTTTAAACGCAATCAAGAATGATGTCAGATCAGATGATAATCGAAGTCAGTATATATATCCTAAATATACACCTGGTTGAGGAGCAAACTTTAATGTCGGAGATAAAAACAATATAGTCGTTTACGACGAACACCCACAAGGATTCAGGGAAAAGGCTATCGAGAGTTAACAGAATTACGGTTTACTCTCTCACGAAACAATTTTTCATCATTAATATTCTGAGCAAACTCTCTTAGGAGAGATCTATCCACTAGTACCAGCACAGACAGTTTTACTCAATTACTAGTGAACGGTGAGGTTGAGTACGTTTCACGCACGAATTTTAGAAAAATTCACGCATCGCGTCTACTTTGAACGGTATTTCTCGCGTCAAGAATTTCAAAGGGAAACTTCAAATCTCTCCTCTTGTGAAATAGGACACATTTTAGTTTTTTCTTTAAGCAATTGCAAGTGTCAAATATAAACCCTCAAATTGTCGAGTGGTGAGAGAGGTCAAATCAGGGTAATGCGTCCCTGATAGTCACAATGCACCCACTCAGCTCGTTTTTAAGACGTTGTGATCATACATACTCAGTAAAACCATTTGTTCAATTCTACTCAAATAATAAAATATGAGTAGAACGGGCCTTCATTAGCTTTTCCGCTCAGTATTCACCGAAACAACATCCTAAAATTAGAAAGTTAGTCGATTCTAAAAGTGGCTCTTCTTTAAATGTACTCGTCAAAATGGGGATGCGGAGTTTAATTCTCGTATTTATGTAGGGGACTGAAGCTCCTCCCCCGCCCACCCTTCGCCCCGGTCACACCTTTCCTATCCGTCAGCTGAGAAATGGATGTTAATGCCAAACGGTAAAGTGCTTCACAGAAAGGCAACTGATTAAATATTTTAACATAGGCTCTTTACTTTCTTTTAAAATGAAAATCGTGAAACTGTGCTATTCTACCAGTGCCGGAGTATCTGAAAATCTTAAAAAAGCGATCTTTAATATATATTTACCAAAGCGAATTATCCAACTACGAATACTTAAGCAACGAAACTTAATCTGATAATTTTGCTACGTTCAATGCAGATATAGATGACAGTAAGAGCGAGATAACTCCGTCACGTATTTTCATAAAAAGAAAGAAAAATGATACAATTACGATTATTTCACACTGATTTTGTGTTTCAGAATCACACTTCATTGTCTTGGAAATCGCAATCAACTTTCCTAAGAATATGATGATTCATTTATACCCGCTTTTTTTAGGAGCCACTTATTAGAGATGTTTTGAGTGCGCACGTATGTTTCATGCAAATTTTCCGGTAATTGAAGGTAAAGTGGTTGCATCCCAGTTCAACAAAGCCTACCGCCAAAACTGAGTGGATTTTCTTTAATAAACTAGCTTTCACTTTAATACGTTTAACTTTTAAAACGTGACTCATAATATTTTTTGTATTGTCGAAAGTGTCAATCAACATCAAAAGAGAAGAAGAAGGAAATAAGTTGATTGCAGTTCCTCGACTACTTTAAGAACTTAGGGCCTTTCCCTGATAGTAAAATCAGTCAAAATGAAGGAAGATTACACAACTTATATACTCAAGTGTTTTTGCCTATTTACTAAGCGATCAAGTGAAACCAAATAACAAAAGCTTTCTTACAAGCTTTTAAGATTAAACATGCTCGAGATTTCGAAGGAAGCTGAAAAATTAAGACGGATTAATTCACGGAAAGGGAGGATAGTTCAGTTTAAGACTGAGTGTAAAATGACACAAGCATAACTATACGGTGAGAAATAAACAAGGCAGAGTGTTCACGAAGGGTTCAGTCGTAGTTGTTCGGTTCCTTGGCCTGTCGGCTGCGAAAATGAACGCTTCAGTTAAAGAGAGAGAATTGAAAGTTGAAAAAAGAGTTTGGATCGCATAACCTCTTGGTTCTAATTATTCTCTTCCATCAACGCGAGAACGAGGTGGGTAGGTAGGTAGGGGGTAGGGTCTTGCAGAAAACTTCCTTTTTATTTTATGGATGATTTAAAGCTTTTACTCTGTACCAGCGTCACAATCGATTATTGATTATTTACCAAAGTTATCATCTACTTTCACCTTACAGTCACGCCCTTTCACTATGACCTTTGAAAAGGCCAAGGGGAGAATCAGATGATCTTTTAGAACTGACGCATTTCCTAATTAGTCGTCATCATTTGCATACATCTGTCTAGATAGAACTATATTTCAAGCGTCTGTAATCGATCAAAAAGACAGCGACTGGCCACCTTTTAATCTCAAAGATTTCTTTTAATTTAGATCGATCTGCACCATCATATATTTTCAAGGATCGCAGAAGATTGACACAAAAAGGTAATTGATGCCTTTACAATCTCATAACACATCCCAGGACACCTAGCTCCCATTTGCTGCGTAAATTTTCGTTTTAATTCGAGTGAAGTATTCAGGAAACAAGAACGGCGGG